ATCTCCTCTCCTCTTTCTTCCCCATTCCTCCCTCATCTACCGACCTACCTACCTACCTAGCCTCTCCATAATCACAGCCAAATTTCTCCATCTCCATCTCCATTTCTCTCTCTCTCTCTCTCTCTCTCCAATATCTATCCAAACCCGAGCCCTTCCATCACATACGACCATAGAAGACCGAGGAGATTGGGCACCCCGCTCGCTCTGCCATACACCAATAAGCCTCAGATCGGCAGATTAGTAGATGGCTAGGTGACCACCAGCGAATACCTGCTGTTGCATGTCTTTTCGTCTTTTGTCTTTTCGTCTTTTGCCTTTTCGTCTTTTGCCTTTTCATTTTTTTTTTCTTGGTGCAGTCTTTCGTTCAAACCATGGCAAAAGTGTTGGAAAACGATAGAGTGATTTTGCTCGACCCGTGTTTCTTGATTGCTTCAGTTTGCACGCTTTGATTAGTTCCGGATGATAGATATCTTCTTCCGTACGATACCGAACGCCAAAGGCCATGGACGGCTACCGACAACATCAATACTCGGAGTTGGTTGGCTCGAGACCAATGAATTGTGAGGAGGCCTTACCTACCTTCCAGTCTCGTTTACTGTACTTGATTAAGCGAAGCCAGGTGAAAATGGCGGACCGCCTCACGATCAAATCACAAACAGGTCAGACTACAGTAATCAAAACAATTCGTTCAAGTCAGTTATTTCATTGCGACCAATGTTGTAACAAATGCTCAAAATTTCCACTCAGATCAAAATCACTTCAAAGGCTACCTACAAACGCTGGCCCAAATATTGTCCGCCCTCCCTCCCTCTTGGCGCCCTGATCTCGTCGTCGCCCGCCCTCCACCCCTCCCTCCAAGCTCATCGGCGCTTGAGACCACACCTTCCTGCTCTTATCGTCCCGATTCCGCTGCCGATTGGAATACCGCTGATTTCTTGATCTAGACTGACTGACCGGTGACAAGAGCCGTTTCGAATTGGCCTAAACTCTTGATCACTCCTCCAACAGCGGGCTGTTTCAGGAACTCGGCCTTTTAACAATCAGCCTGATCTTCCTTGGCGCAGGCGGTGGCGGCGGTGAGGAGGCTGGGCCTCGCGGATTGGCCTTCAGGATGATGATCCGGCTCTTCTGGGCCGGCTTCTCCTCACCAGTGACCTTGACGACGGCACGGTGGTCCCTGTGTCGGAGCTTGAGCTTCTCCGACAGCTTGCTGCGGCCAACAGTTCCCGAGTGGTAACGTTGGAGGGACTCAACCGCCGGTCGGGGCGAGCAGTTGACGCGACCCAAGCCATCCCCACACTGGCTCCTGAGCAGGAAGCGAGTGTGGTGCGGGATGGCGCTCAGGACCCGACAAGTTCTCGGGAGAGCGCGTCCAGCCAGCCGGGCTTCCATCTCCCTGGTGGCCGTGACGACCTTGGCCTTCTCTTCCAGCGCTTTGGTCGCCACGTGGAAGGCCTTCTCGGCCTTCTTCCAGGGCGTGTACTCAGCCCTCTGGGGATCCCACGCTGGGAAGTTCCCGCGCCACTCAGTAGCAGAGGGGGCAGGGCTCTGAGAGCCCCTCTGGACGCACTTCTCATAGGCTTCGACTCGCTCCTTGGGCTCGTGGTCGCCGGGGAAGGTCCCGGCAGCTTTGCCTTGCTTCCCAGCGCCTTTGACCATGAGAGGCTGGACGTTGCCTCCCATGATCTCCTTCCTCTCCGCGTCCTTGACTTGCCGCTCCTTTATCCAGGCGCGGCAAGCAGCCGAAGCGAACTTGGGGCCGCTGACACCGGCGTACCGGCGCGAGAGGGCCAGGAGCTGAGCGGCGGCGGCGTTGTATACCCGATCGCTCGTGTCCGGCAGGCGCTCCCACTCCTGCTTGGTCGAGGCAGTGAGGGGTTCCAGAGGCTCAAACTTGGTCTTCTTGAGCGCTGGTGTCGGGATCGGCGTTGTGTCGGCGGTTCTCCCCCGCTTGACGCCGAGCTTGAGGGTTATCTTATTTGGAACCTCCTGGCAGACCCGTTCCAGTGCCGTGGTGGCAGTAGCGAGGTCTATGGTGTGGACCTTGCGGATGCCCTTGAGTGCCTTGAGTGCGGCACTTGTCCTGAGAGTGGTGTGGTATGGGACATTGACGAGGTGACTGATCCCCTCTTCATGGCTCTCGTCGAATCCTCCATTGGCCTTCTTGGCTTGGAGGAGGATCCGAGCCTTCTCGAGGTAGTTGTTGGCTCCTGATTGAGGCATGTTTGATATTGAAGTTGTAATTGATGCAATTGAAGTTAATATGGTATGTATCTATGACTTGTAAAGTGCGAGTTGAATGGCTCTGCGGAGAATTGTAGCGCGTGTGTGTATATGCTATATGATGGAGAGAAGTTGAGAATGGAAGAGGGGGGCCTCTGTGACTTTATCTTGTCTGAAGCTGGGACTAGACATCAATTTTTTTCTGATCTGGGTTAGGGAAAGGGCATCTGACTGGACCGCCCATATTTTAAACCACCATTCTAGACTCTATCCGAGTCACTAGAAATCGGGGTTTTTTTTCTGATCTAAACTAGAACTAGAGAAAGGTCTTCTCCGTCTCGTCTGACTGGACCGCCAAATTCCAACCCACCGCTCTAGCCTCTATCCGAGCCACTCAACATTCTTTTTTTTTCTGATCTTGATTACAGAAAAGGGCATCTGAGTGGTAGAGTACCCATCAAAAATTTCATTCCTCCTCGTTAGTAAGCACTCCCATCCTCGGATATGGACTGGCTAAAGGAAAGAGTTGAAATCTACATTATTGTGAAACTACCGTAGTAGTCATGCTTTTCCATTCAAGAAGGTTGCATCGAAAACACAAGAACAAAATTGACGACTATGTAGGTCATGGCAGTCAGTCAAACTACCTACCTACCTGCCTACCTCCCCACTGGAACTTTGGCTATGCTGCGAAAAGGGGGTCTAAGAACTTCACATCTTCACAGCTTCATACTGACAATCAATAGCCATTTGAAGTTTTATCCGTTAGAAATCGTGCCTCGTGCCTAAGGCTGAAGGCGAGGGAACATGGGGTAGGTAGGTAGGTAGGCATGGTATGGCATGGCATGGAATCCCTAATGATATCATAAATACAAATATTGATGACTTCATGATCTTGTCTTAATGCCTAACTTACCTTAAAGGCAGGTAGGGGGTTATTTAAACCGTCAGCTGACAATCCGATGACGGTCTCTTTAAAAGACGATCCTAAGAGGTTGGCATAGCTAGTGGATCACCCTAGGCCGATACTTAAAATTGAATAGAATCTGAAAACAACGATTTAAATTATTTGAATCGTAGCTAAAACAAAACTATTTCAATCGATTAAATCGTTTTTTATAAGAGCTCGTCTTTTCGTTAAAAGATTATTACTCAAATAAGATTGTTTTAATCGATTAAATAATCGTTTATAAAAGTCGGTCTTTTTATAAAAAGACCGTTTTAAGACCGTCCTATGGCCGTTCTGTGGCCGTCCCAAGGCCGTCCTCGAACTTGAAACCGTCCCGGAAAACATTGATTAATAAGCCTTTTTTTTTTTCAATTACTTAGCAGTCTACCCCTTACTAGGTATGCTACCCTCTTATTACACCACCCCCTTATTGCACTACCCCTCCAGCAGGCCAGTAGGGCGCACATGCGCGCGCGAACTTTTATTAAATCGATCGATTCCAATTATTAGAAATTTAAAGCGTTGATATATAAGCCGTAGCAGCGATACCGAGAAATATCTTGGCATGGAATTTATTAAATTATTATTAAAACGATTCCATTTAAGAGATAATTTTTATTTACAACTGTATCTTCTTTAAAATGGTCTAGACGAGGACGGCTATAGGACGGCCATAGGACGGTCCCAAGCTCGAGGACGATCAAAAAGGTGAATTATTCTTGATTAATAACTAGTACTGATTTTAGATAGTTTAATAACCGTTTTATATAAAAGAGGGTCAGAGGACCGCTCAAATGACCCCCTAACTGCCTTTAAGGTAACCATTAATCGTGACGTAGAGTGGCGAAATTCTCTAGTCATCGCTTTTTCCCGTTGCTCCTTCCTTATTTTTTTGTCGCTAAGCGAGATCGGACACGTGCCGCATTTTCCAATCATACATAATTCATATCGACTGGAGCTGGTGAGGTCTTGAGGATCGAAGATTGGGCTAGGATTTATGTGATCATTAGTATACGGACAGGCTAGTCTTCGAGAATTTTTTTTTTGAGCGTACTAGCTGAAGCATATGCCAAGAAGTTGGGCGACGATTCCGCGGAAGTACATCACGCACCCGTAACATCTATGGAGTAGATTTGATGGCAGAAGCCCGGCTGAGATGTTGAATTATTGCTAGAATGCCTTATACAAGCCGAGTGCAGAGCCAGTTAAGTAGCTAATATGTGACCACCGCATGAGATCATAGACGCAAAGACTTAGTTTCACAGCTAGCACAGTATCCAGCCAAGTCGGAACAGATTCAATTCTCCGGTAAAAAGCAAAATGGGAGGAAACTTCACATACCAAGCCCAATTCTTCGCCATGCCGTCTCCATATCTTCACAAAGTTGCAAGAAGTCGGGGTTCTCAAGATTCTCACAAATGAAATCATTAATCATCATGTGTCGATCCTCCTCACTAGCCTCTTGATACGCGGGTATTTTCCACAGCTCTTTTGGAGGCGGTCGTGCTTTGTGCTTGGTAAGGAAGGCATCTATCTCATTCAGAAAGGTGTTAGGAGGCGCAAGATCACTAGGAGCCATATCGGGCCCTTTCTCCTTGACACGTTCCTGAATAGTTGGGGCCTCTTGAGTCTGGGTACTTGCGTTGACCATCTTGGGACGCTTGTTGTTTGAAGCTGGTCGAACTGGGCCTGGAGTCCGTTTTCTGGCTGGAGCATTGGCCTTGGAGATTAGACCGGACGCAGCAGAAGCCGGTCTGGCAGAGGCAGCGGCAGCGGCAGCGGCAGCACTTTTGGCAGCAAGCGGAGAGGGTTCGTCTTCATGGGGTACTGGAGGGGTAAAAACAGTCTCCTGTGTGGTGGGCCTGATAGGAGAATGATCATCTGTGTTGGCGATGGCCGCCGGCTTTGCCGGTGGTTTGGCCGTTGGTGCTTTTCGTTGAGCGACCCGCTTAGTCGCCGGCACTGGTATAGGTACAGGCGTCTCCTTACTATGTGTTGCCTTCTTTGGGCTACAAGCTAACGCAGACATTGGCGCAGGCTTTGGCACTTGCGATTTCTCCTCGTTGGCAACCTTCTTCGGACTGGGCTTTGACGCGAGCATAGGTTCTGGGTCACTTGGGTTTTCATTGCTTGTAGCCATTCTCGCACCGGGCTTCGACACCGGGGTTGGCTTTGGAAGTGCTGGTAGGTCGACTGCTGACGATAGACGTCGTGATGGATCGAATGGTAGAACCCGTCTGGGTGGTAGATCATACGATTCGGCGGGCGTTGATGAGGGTCGCTGCGAGTTAGGTGGGGCCCAGAATGGATTTGCCAAGCCTTGGTCCAGACTTCTTGTTGCAGTTGACGGTGAAGGAGAGAACGAGGACGATGAAATCAGCCGAGATTTGGCTTCTGCAAGTTCGGCTAACTTTTGACTCTGGGCTTGCGTCTGACCAGGAAACATCGAACTGAATTGATCACTAGAGTTGCTAAGATGGCCAAATGGCTGCGATACAGGTTGCGACATTCTGCGAGACTGAGACTAGGAATGGTCAGTTTAGCCTTAACATTGGGTACTGGGAGATGGAATCGCACCTCTCGTTCCAACTGCGAAAGATACAAATTATTCGCTGACTCACGGGAAGAACTAGGCCGGTAACCCGGCGTATTCGGCGTAAGAACCAAGTCTGGAACGGGTCTGGATTCACTGGCATGGAAGTCTGGCAGCTTTCTACCCGTCTCGGCTGTTGCTGGTCGTTCAGGGACTTTGAATCCAAAGTATGGGGACGAACTGGGCAAGCCAAAGGACCTATCATTGCTGAGTGTTGACATTGTAGATACCGATCGCGGTGGCGGAGCCAGAGAGCTATTACTCTGAATAGAAGATGAGGACAGCATAGATGGAGATGGCGAGGGGCCCGGACGAGCCACTGGTAGGACTGGAGCTTTGATAGGGAGTCCGAGTTCTTTCATGATGTTCATCGCTTTCGTGCAGTCGGCGTCGTTCTGGAATCTTACTTGGATTTTGCGGACCTGTATAGCATTAGAGAAGTGTAAAGGGGATCGGATGGGAGTTCATACGCTGTCAAAAGATTGCGGGTATCGCATGGCCATGCGTGGGCTGTTTGCCATCACTTCGACCATGTTCTCCGGCTCGGTCGAGGGATCAGCTTGCCGATAGAGTTGTACGAGCCTGCCGAGGTCCTGGTATTCCTGTGCGGCAAATCAATGGGTGATGTGGTCCACTGAGGTCGCTGGAGAGCTCTTACCAAGGTCTCTGCGCCGCTGATGACCTTCATCAAGACTCGCTGGCTATAGCTGCCATTATCGTCAACCGTTCGAGCAGCTTGAATGACAAAGCTGAGATTATCGGCTGAGATATGGGTCCAGGGAGGGCAGCGTCTGCCGTAGAGGGATCTATTTCCCTCCCGTTCGTTTCTTTATGGACATTTATTATGCTATATATATACTAAAGAAGTCTCCTTCTCTTCTCTCTTCTCTCTTCTCTCTTCTCTCTTCTCTCTTCTCTCTTCTCTCTTCTCTCTTCTCTCCTCTCTCTTCTCTCCCATCTCCTCTCCTCTTTCTTCCCCATTCCTCCCTCATCTACCGACCTACCTACCTACCTAGCCTCTCCATAATCACAGCCAAATTTCTCCATCTCCATCTCGCGGAAGGCGCTTATAGTACGAAAGACTTGGCTAGACCTGCCATGGGTAAGGCCACGTGCGGCCAGACGCACATGACCTCTGTTCCTGTAGACTGAAGAGCGAATCTTTTTTTTTTCCCTTTAAAGATGACAAGTAATTTACGTTCACTACTCGGACCCGCATGTCTGGGAGTCTTGAATACTGTCAGAGCTGCAGCGCTACGACCGGAATACTGGAGAGCTGGAGCGCTGTCAGCTCGGAACGATATGTATGTGAAATCAAAGGGGGTTGAAGAGTGGCAGTAGCAGTAGTACCTGGAATTTGTACGCATTCGATGTGAATTGGCCTCATCAAGAAATTCTATACGCCCGGTGAAAATGGATTGATACTGAGGTTCTTTGTTGCTATAAATGCAAATGTTAAGGTTGGCAACAGAAGCCTTCGAACTATACTGTCGGCAACCATCTTCACCTTACTTCCATTGGCCATAGGTACCTACCTATATAATGCAACAAGGCAAAGTTATAGCCTGAGGCCGAAGCTGAAGCTGAAGTTGAGGCTGAGGTCGAGCTCATGAATAGAATTTAATGCCAAGACAAGCTAGTCTTCTCTCGAGCTAGCGCCACTGCTTCCCACTCCCACCACGAGACAAGGCTGACCGCGTCGGGATCAAAAAGGCGCGTCGCATTCGAGTCCATCCACCGACCATCAAACCATCGCACGCTGTATTCGTCGGTTGTGGGATCACAGATCACAGGTCACAGCACGACACGGTACAACTTAGTCGCGACAATGGCCCCTTCTCCGATTGAACCCCCCAACCCTCCGACCCCCGAATACACTGAATTCATTCAGAAGCTGGTCGCATTCCACGAGAAGAGAGGGACGAACTTGGAGACCGCCCCGAAAGTTGGCTCCAAATACATCAATCTCCTCCATCTGTTCAACACCGTGGTAGAGCGTGGTGGATACGACAAATTGAGCGATGAGAAGCTAGCTTGGAGAAAACTGGGCCACGACTTCAGTTTGGGAACCGTCCACGCGCCCGCCGTGGCGTTTACTTTGAAGTCGGCATACTACAAGAACCTGGCGGCATACGAGATAGTTACGATACACGGTAAAGAGCCTCCGCCGCGGGAGATCTTGGAGGATACTACGGCGAAAGGTGGTGGACTGCTCACGCGGACATTGGAGAACTTTCGGCCCTCTCAAAAGCGAGAGCCAGGCCAGCTGGGAAATGACTCTGATGCGGATGAAGAGGGCACCCCAGTTCGAGAGAGTAACGCAAGTGAAGATACACCAGGTTCCGGCGGCAGAGCGACAAGAGGTCTGCGACAAGCTCCTCCTCAACGGCAACTCTGGCAGCCCGATACCAGTTCGACCAGACAGACCAAAACAGTTCCTACATCCCACCCGAATCCCACTCACCAACAGCAGAATCAGCACAACCAAAATCAACCAGCACCTCGAGGTGCCTCGACATCCTACAACCCAGCCTCAAACACGGACAACATATCGCAGGCCGTTGCGAACTATGAGCCACGTCCTCAGATGCCTCTTACCCTTCGAGCTATTGTGACTCCAGGAAACGCACCAAGTGAATTTGCCAAGCGCAAAAAGGCTCTGCAAGATGCTGCAAGATCTGCTTCCGGGCACGTCCCTACTCCTTCGCAGCGGGGTATCATGCTCCCCGGGAGTGAGTTCTATTTTCCTACCGCTATGGTGCTTTACTAACAATCAATTAGCTGGTTTTGATGGTCCAAATATCTATGTCCGCTGCTTGTGTGCATTGAGGTCAGGCATCCAATCTGAGCAAGAGTATGCTCTTCACCATTTGGTCAAGATCTCTATGGAACGTGGAGACAAGTACCGATTTGAAGGATTTCCTGGCTTGGCAGAAGCATTGATTGAAAAGGTCCTTGAAGTCAGCTCGTTATTCTACAAGGTCGCCTGGGAGGTCTCGTATACCGGCGACGGGGAAATGGTCAGCGGGGATCTGATTAATGGTGTGGATGGTACTCCAGATATCCTCCAACGCATCGCGGCACTATCCAAACTCGAGGTTGACGACAACATTCAGACTGAGGAACACAGCGACAGAATGCTTCAGATCAACGAGGCTGCCCTCACAATACGTAACATGGTAATGTTGGAGGAGAATGCGTATTACGTGTCCGAAATATCACCACTGCGAGACTTTTTGAGCATTGCCCTGAACCTTCCAAATATGGACAGTTCTATCGAACTGAAGCATTATGCTCTCGATATTGCTGAACAATTGACCAAATACATGCGCCTTAGCGAGACGGACCCGCTTTACACATCCCTCCTCAGCCAGCTTCACTCCGGGGATCGAGGTGCAATCTTGACCGCGTTGCGAGCTATCAGCAGAATTTCTATGAATTTCGAGGAGAACAATCTTCTCAAGGGTGTCCCGGCAGCAGCTCTACAGAACATTCTTGACTGGACTATGCTCAATGACGAGGATCTGGTTCACGCTTGCTTGGATTTTCTCTATCAATACACAGCCGTCGTCGAGAACGTAGACTTCCTTATCTCGGAACTACGGGTGGAGTCCCTCATCAACCAGCTCGTCAGACTATTGATGTACGGTGGAAGAGTCATAGAGAGAGAGTTTCTCGTCAGCAAAGATACCAGGAGACCTGCACCGATGAATATTGCACATCTCCCGCACGAGGTATTCTCTCACATCGTGAAGATCGAGGAACCGGAACGCAGCTCGCTATGGCTCCGTTGCTTGTTCGAGGAGGATCCCGAGGAGTCAATCACGCAGATTGCGTTGTGGCAAGCCTACCAAGGATGCTTCACAAATACACTGACAGCTTCCGGAGCTGGACTGCTCGCGGCAGCCGAGTTCATTAAAAACGTCAGCACAACCTTTGCGGAAAAGGCCGCAGCCCAGATTCAAACAGGACCCGTGCAAAAGTTCATCATCAAAGGCATCCGGATGCGTCATGTCCCCGTTGACACCAAGGGTGAGGAGGCCAGCAAGTGCCTGTGGAAAGGTCCATTCGGCGGTGCTGAGCCCTGTGGACAGTTCTTCATGAGCCCGGAGAGCATGTTTCGGCACATCCTCAAGGCGCATCTTGGAGGTGGGCAAAATGCTGACGGGAAATTCGACAATGCCCCGACAGGTCGCGACTACACATGTCTCTGGAACAGATGCGAGCGATACCATTCCAAAGCTCCTGCTACCAGACTATCGCAGATTGCGAATCATATCAAAGTACATCTTTCGCCTCGTGCAGTAGCACGCAAGGAGATCGTCGACTTTGCAGGTCCACCGCCCGCGAAGAGATCTAGAGCTTCCTATATCATCCCTGGACCGAAGCGCAGTCTCACCTTCTACCAGACAGCAACAGACGAGCGTGAAGGTGCAGCCGGCGTCCCGCTCAGTGCTGTTCTTGTCTTGCGGAATCTTGCGCGCAATATTCCGAGGACGGATACTGATGCTGCTGCGAGGCTGGCGGGCGGTGCGTCTTGGGTAGATCGCCTGTTCAAGCCTGTTGAGCCGCGACTTTTCGACCTCATGACGCACAATAAGAGTTTGGTAAGTCAACTATCTACCAAATTACCGATAACTTCCATTCAAGTACATGCTGACTTGTTTTTGCAGATGGTTCATATCACGGACCTGATCTCTGCGATCAAGAGTTCTTGATAGACTTAATATTATGGCGCATTAGGGTTATCTATGGTCTCACAGGGTAGCTTTTGGGCTGGCTACGTGTAATGGAAAATTGGAGGCGCGATGGCGTAGATATGGGTGCTGCTTGCTGCCTTTGGCATGTAAACTATTCTGATAGATACCTTGGGGTCTAGGGCCGAGCAATGAATGAGAGATGAACGTACAAACCCCTTGAGAGTATGCTCAGGAAGTCCAGTCCTGGAGCATATAGTGGTGCGAGTCTGTAAGCAACTGCATGTGATTCTTTGGTGTTTGATGTTTGAGAGTCATCAAGTCTATTGATGGGGGTTTGCTTTTGGCTTTTAGGTTCTGTAGAGGGGGTTTCTAGAGGGCTGGCCGAGGTGGAGAATCACGCGGGTGGAGAAGCGGGCTAGAAATGTGCTTGCTCCGTAAGGGTCTCCATGACCACATTTCCAAAAAAATGGTAGATTGTGAGGGAAACTGTCGTGACCAGAGGGAAAAAAGCCTCAAGCTGCCTACGCCCCTCAGCTACGTAGTCGGTCTCAGGTAACTTATATATAGAAGCCTAGCGGACTTGCAAAAGCATGCTAGACTCGCAGGAAGCCTCCGTATGGTATAGTTATCCTTTTGTTTTGGAAATTGTTTCTATGGTGATTATTTGGGTGAGGATTGAGGATCTTGATGTTGAACTGCTGAGGAGTCGTCTGAAAGGTGAACTCGCTTGCGAACCCCTTCTCCCCCCCTCCCCTCGGCTGCAAAACCAGCTTTTAAACCAAGCAGAATTCAAGTCTCTATTCTGTTCACCTTCCATAAAGAGTAATGCGGGGGTCTGACGAAGTAGACCAGCGGTCATTCACTATATCTTCCGTATTGTTGCAAGCACAATAGGAGTGAATAGGCGAGGGGGACGCTAGTGGCCTTCCTCTCCTACATAAGCCCCCTCCCTCTTCACGTTTCCTTCTTTTCTTTCGTTCCAATACATCATCACAACTTGGTCTTCTTCTTTGCCTGACAACACAGTACAATACAGCAACGCTTTCTTCCTTCACACTCACACACAACAAAACTTCTTACTCTTCTTGAATCCCTTGCAACCTGACTCTTCGTCGGCTGCCGCTTTCACCTTTCACACTCCATCTACATCTTGTCCTGGATTCTTCAATCACCATCCCAATCCTCGCCTCTACTGATCCTCAACATTTCGTACCTGCATACTTCTTCCGGTGCACCTCTTCCGGGCACCTCTACCAAGTACCAGCCGCCGCACATGAGAAAGGCTCGGCCAGCTCTCACTTCCACTCCCGCACCCCCTCCCGTCACTTCTATCGGCGCCCAGGACATGGCCAACATCGCTACTCCATCCTTTTCCCCACTTACCTTTGCTCCGAGTGTCAACAACCAAGCGCCTGTCAAAGGTAAAGGAAAGAAGAAAAAGGCAAAGGCGACCCCCCCTCCTGTTTCCGTTCCGGCGTCTTTTATCACGTCACTCCCAGCAAAGCCAAAGCCGACCACTCTGTTTCCAAAGATCTCAGGCGACCTCAAGGGAATTGAGAGCCGGTACCGAATGGACAACAAGGACCAGCGCCAGTTCAAAGCTTCCAACGGTGCAGCAAGAGCCCTGAAGAAAGGTGCAAAGACGGTGATCAACTTCGTTGGAACAGTGAAGTAAGTGAAACTCCTCTCCCAGCTTGCGTGATGCTGCTTCTTTTTTTTTTTTTTTTGAAATCCACGGCTACTTTTCAATACATCTGACACACCATCTTTTAGGCTCGACGGCACTCATGCCGACATTGTCGTCTCGGGCGATAACAGAATCCGCCTACAGTCCAAGACCCGAGGTGCCCTCGACCAGACGGCGCAGGGCGATAATTATGGCTTCGCCAAAGCCATGTTCCAGCAAGAGACGGCCATCCTTGCAATGAAGGATAAGATTGTCCAGCAATGGTTGGAGCTTCACAAGGGCCAGAGCCTGAGCTCATTGCCTGAAGTAGTGATCGCTGGGGAGTGGATTGGACCGTGAGTACTGATTTTCTTGGCTGTTGTGAGAAACCTGTTCGTTCACTATGCTGACTATTTCACAGAGGGATCATGGCGGGTAGTTTGTTGGAGAAGTTGGACAGCAACCTGTTCGTCGTACATGCCATCGCCGTGAACGGTGTCTGGGTGGAAGACAAGCTCTACGAGCACATTGAGGAGCCTGAAGCTGGCATTCTCAACGTCGCCCGAGGTGGCTGCTTCCACGAGAAACTAGACGTGACCGATGTCGAGTCCTGCCTCCAAGCAATGATGGAAAAGGTATGTTTGAAATCGTGCCAAGCGGTATCATAGCCTTGCTGACTCTTGGGAATAGACAATGGAGGTAGTCAAGCAATGTCCATTTGCCGCGACTTTCGGCATCGTGGGCCGGGGGGAGGGTATCGTCTGGAAGGCGGCCCACCCCCTGGGACAAGATCCGCGTTTCTGGGTGAAGACCAAGCCGGCCGAGGTAAGCTCCAAACACAGAGACTGACTGACATATCCCCTGGTTTTGACATCAACTGACATATCCTGATCAGAGCTCTGCTACCAATCAAGATGCTCTACCCAACCCGCACACGATGGAAGACCAGGTTGAGCGTGAGTCCCAATGCCGACATCCATCTTTGTTCATCAAACTAACACAAGCAGGTACCCGGGAGTTTGCACTGGCTACCGTGACCCAAGCTCGGCTCGAGCAAGGTTGGAGTTTGCTGCCGCGAGAGATGCAGACTCCCAACACGAACAAGGCCACGGGCGAGTTCCTGAGCTGGGTGAAGGACGATATCTTTGCTGAGGAGGCAGGCAGGATGGAGGAGTGCAAGGTGGACAAGGAATACCTTTTGAAGTGCATCTGCTGGGTCGCGGGGGATTGGTATGGGAAGAAGCTCGAGGCTGAGAAAAGCGATCGAGTAGGCAGTTTTACCGCGCAGAACTGATTCTCTCAGGCACTTGGAGGCGAGAGCTAGGGTGGAAAGCTAGATTTGTAAATTCTGTACAATTTTTTCTTCCGAGATCGATCAGGAGATGAGATGTGACGAAGTAGTAGATATGACGAAGTAATCGTCGAGAAAGCCTTGAATTCAAGTTTGGGCTGGGGCTCTGCGCCTCGGGAAAGAGTCCAGCCAGAGCTCGGAATAAGATCAACTAGCTGGAGCAGCTGATGAGCCAGCTCTCGATGTCCACGTTGTACAAGCTGACCATATGCAGCATACTAACTACCGCGTCCCGATCAAAATCGATAATCGCCTCGCCTGTAAGTCACGAAACCGTATCGACATATCGAATCCAAGCATCGGCCACGGATCAGAGTAAGATGGTTCGGCGAGTATGTGAAGCCACAGTCTCAGTCTCGTCTAATCGGGCTCAGATCGTGATACCAGCTCCAAGGTCCGAATAGGGAAAAGAACGCACATTGCAGCTCGCATTGCCTTTCCTGGCCTTACCTCGATTCTCAATCCTCGACCTTTCTGGATTCTCGATTCTCGGACCCCGCCCATCCTGACAACGCCCGCCATCCATCCACCCAGGCGCACGAAGATTTCCTGGGCAGCCCAAGACAGCCCCGGCTTCTCCGCCCCGGATCTCAGCTGGGGACCGTACAATGGACGGCCGCTTATGCGAGAAGATGCAGTCAAGAGCGGCAAGCTACAGTAGTGAAGATAAGTAGAAGATGACCTGGCCGTCGATGCAGCTACTGACGCCGCGACGCACCCATCGAATCCAGGGCCAGAGAAAGCCGTGGAACCCTGTTGGACCGCCGGTAGCGAACGTTTCTCATCAAATCAACTAGCGTGCAGCGCACCTACACACGTAGCTTCTCTGCAATTGCAAAATAGCGGTCGAAAAAAAAAAAAAAAGGTATCTGTATTCTGGCTGCTCCACCAAGGCTCAAGGGAGCTGCTGACTCCTTTCTATGCGAGTGGGAGGAAGCACGTGCACTAGCTATGGAAGAGTGTTTCCAGGGAAGTTGGGGGGTCCCTGGGGGTATGCCACCCGAAGCGAAGCATGCTCGTCCGTAACCGAGGCATACCTACCTACGTACTCGTATAAGCGAGCTGGCCTTTTCCCCCAGCTACGTCGGGGCGATATGGATGTACCGACAGACAACTTTGGAACAACAGACCGTGATTGAGATTCTAGCGTCGCGTCGAAGAGGTCACTCGGACCGCCGTCTCTCTAGGTCCAGTTGGTGGTCACGTTCATGGTAGCGCGTCTCTCAATACCCTGGTAGCCGAGTACGCGTTATAATGACTGGTAACAGCTGGGCCTAGGACACCGACTTTCGCGCTTACCGTTCTTTCCCCGGCTTCGGTGACGCTCTTGGGACGCGATGATTGTGGGAGACAAGCTCTATGGAATAGGTAGAGGGTGGTATGGGTATTGCCAATATAGCGGTAGGAGACGAGAATGGGAATCTAGCAAGAAAGAACGCTGATACAGTGGAGTGCATGCCTGGAGTTACAGTCATTGAGAGCGAGGTGAGCAAGGCTCTCAATCATGACCTCGCATCTCTTGACTGACATTCTTCTCTGTATAGAAGAAGTCCTGGTCTTGCTTACATAAGACCATGGGGTTCCTGCCTAGTTGAGGTGGCAAGAAAAGTGGACCGATCTCAAATGCAAGTACCTTGTAGCAGACATTCAAGAGGATTGCTGCAGATCATTTGGAGGGCTAGCGTTTAGCGCTGGCCGTTTGGCTTATTTTTGCAGGCAGGACAACATTGCAAGACCAAGATCTTGGCTGGAGCGCAGCTTAACTAGGAAGCTTCTCCTTGACCAGAACTCTGCAGGAACTTATCCTTCAATACCTCGTAACATATAGCGATGCGAAGAAACAAAAAGCTTCCGAAAGAGGAATGCATTCTGTAAAGACTTCCTCGAACATTCAAAGCCCACCACCCACGGATATCTTCAACGCCACTACCCCTACCATCTCCAACTCAAAAATCAAACCTTACTGTCCGGCTTATCTTCCACCTTATCCTCGGGCGAGAACTTCATACTAACACTATTGACGCAATGCCTCTCATCCGTCGGCGTCTTGTAGCCCTCTCCCTTAAACACATGTCCCAGATGCCCCCCACAATTCGAGCACACAATCTCGGTCCTCGTCATCCCCAGCGTGCGGTCCTCATGCCGGGTCACCGCGCCGGGGATGTTGTCGAAGTAAGCCGGCCACCCGCACCCGGAAACGAACTTATGGTTGGCCTTGTAAAGGGGGGCGTCGCAGCCGGCGCAATTGTAGACGCCCTCTTCGGGCATGTGCTTGTCGTATTTTCCGACAAAGGGAGCTTCGGTGCCTTGCTTGCGTAGTACGCGGAATTGTTCTAACTGATGTATGAGTTTGGTTGTGGGATGGTTTGGAAACGAGGATCGAGGTGGAGGTAGGGTGGCTTACCTTTGGAGAGGACGGCTTGCCACTCCTCGTCGGTCTTTTGGACGGGGTAGGTCATCTTGGTGGAGTTGCTGGTGCCGAAGAAACTGGACAGGAAGGGAATTGTTGGCATGGACTTGATTACTGTTCCTCTGGTGAAGGGCTGGAGAGCTTTGTATTGCGTTGAAGTGCGGGCAGAGTAGTTGCTGAGGGAGTAGAAGGTACGGAGCAGCGTCGGGAAGGTTGGGAATCGCATGAAGGTCTCGAGGGGTTGAGGTGAGATGAGATGAGATGAGATGAGTTGAGTTGAGTTGAGTTGAGCAGAGGTGGATGTGGATGTGGATGTGGATGCGGATCTGATAGAATCGGACTTGACGTTTGAATTCCTTTCTTCTCGGGTGGCGTCTGAATTGAAATGTCAACATCCGTCCTCACCTCTTGCCCCCGCCAATGGTGATGTCAGTGAAAGTGATGCTGCTATCCCTGTCATTCAACTTCCTGGCTGATCCACACGTGAACGGGCAAAAGGCAACATCGTCGGAGAAACTGCTGTAGAAACGAATGAATATGAATCTTGCTCGAATACTTCGTATACATTTTGCTGGCGTCGGGTAGTAATTCAGAATTGATTTTACTTCGTATATCATCGCTTTTAATCGATGACTTGACCAACTCGCACGCTTCCATTAGCGAAGACTGACTAGGTGTACTTATAAGCTACCTTGAACCCGACTTCTAACCGACGACAACCTCCAACAACGTCGCCTTGTCCAACATTCCTTTCTTTGGACTACACTACCCTACCCTACACTACACTACATATTTGCGGAGCAACATGTCACGCAGAGCTCCGAATCCCGCTGCTGAGCGCGCGGCGCAGAATACACAGACGATCAAGAGTCTCTTGAAACTGGAGGGCAACAAGACGTGTGCGGATTGCAAGAGGAATAAGCGTGGGCACCGCCGTTTTCTGGTGGTATCCCGACCGAACTGACAATATCCAGATCCGAGATGGGCAAGCTGGAACTTGGGAATCTTTATCTGCATCAGATGTTCCGGCATCCACCGAGGAATGGGCACACACATCAGCAGAGTTAAATCCGTGGATCTCGATGCCTGGACCGATGAGCAATTACAGAGTGTTTTGAAGTGGGGAAACTCGAGGGCGAACAAGTACTGGGAGGCAAAGCTGGCTCCAGGCCATGTGCCATCCGAATCGAAGATCGAGAATTTTATCAGAACCAAGTACGAGTCCAAGAGATGGGTTATGGAGGGGCCAATACCGGATCCGTCTACACTCGAGGCCGACGGAGATGATGATGTTCCATTGAGCTTGGTCAAGGAGAAGCATTCCATTGAGCGCTCGAGCTCGCAGAAGGCATCTGAGGGACAAGCAGCAGGTCCGTCGCAAGTAAAGAGAGCGCAACAGCCCGATCTGTTCGGTGATGATACCGCACCCCCAAGAGCCAGTCCTGCGGCCACAGCCCCCTCGAGACCTCCGCCCAAATCAGAGCCAGCGCCTCCCAAGCAGACCAAACCTGCGGATTCGCTCCTCGGGTTAGACTTCTTTGGCACCGAGGCTCCTCCCCCAAGTCGACCATCCAGCGCAGCTCCAGGTCCAGGGACACAGTCGCGGCCAGATTTGAAACAGTCGATTTTGTCACTCTATGCATCCGCCCCTCGTCAGCAGCAGCAGCAGCCCTCCCATGCATCTCAAGGATCTTTTGGAGGCATGCAACCGGCACCACAGTCGCCCCCCGCTATGCAATCAGGCTTTGGTGGAATGAATGATGCATTTAGTGGTTTGAGCTTCTCAAGCCAGAATTCTGCCCCCACACAATCAACAAATGCTTTCTCAGGCTTAGGCAATGTTTCAAGCCACCAGCGGGGTCCTTCTCAAGTATCTTCTCCCTCTTCTAACATGGGCGGAGGTACTTTCTTTGACACAAAGCCAGCTGCAGCGCCAGCTCAGCCAAGCCGAGGATTTAGCTCGTCCAGCGGATTTGGTGCCTTCGACTCGGCGCCAGGAACCTCATCACCGGCCCCTGTCTCGAACACCAGCTCGGGTATGAACGACTTGTTCGACTTCGCAACACCTGCTCAACCTGCTGCCAACCCTACGGCTGCTTCATCCACCAACCACGATTCATCAATGTTCAACCTCTCACAACCTGCGGCTGCAGCAAAAGCACAATCGCCACAACCGGCAACGGGTGGTGGTTGGGGCAATAGTGACGCATGGGGATCTAGTGATGCTTGGGGCTCTACGGCCAAGACGAGCCCTTCAGTCAGTATACCAGCACCTCAAACCAGCTCGGGTGACTTTGGATGGGGCTCTGGAACGACATCTCTGGCTAATCAGAGCATCGTTCCCGGTGGAGGTGGAGGATTTAGCACAGCAAGCAGCGTGCCTCCGAAAGTAAGCGCAGACGTTGATTTTGGAGGCTGGAGTAGTGCTACTCCTGTCACACCAGCAGCAGGTACGACGGCAGGGGCGAAGCCGGCATATGGCGCGAGCGAGGACTTATTCTCGAATGTTTGGGAATGAGGAAAGGGGCATATGGGAGAGAGAGAGTATGAAGTATGTAGGTAGTATCTGGTAGAGAAAGAATCTGTAATGCAAAATCCAGGACTTCTCGAGAAAGGCATGTCTGTTGCTTGGGCAAACAGCCGTGAAAGTTGATTCGCTATCCCCATCGAAACGCCATTGCTATGCTAGATATGTCCACATGTAAAATACAATATCCATCTGTCTGTATCTCCCTCGGCCTTTAGCTTTCCAGTGTGAGCGCATGCCTGCCTCCTCCCTCTTTCTCTTCCCTCATCCACCGGGTGGATCCTTCTAGGCCTCGCCCTCTTTTCTCTCCCCCCCCCCCAGCCCTTCTACCAGCCCCCTTCTCCTTTGCACCTTTGGCAGCGAATCCCGTTGCCATACCCCCGTGCTGTATCTCCCACGGACTGGCCTTCCACCCATCCAACCCACCCAGCCAGCACACTCAAACGAACAAGCCCCAGATAAACCATAGCAGCAGCACGACCCCGACGACTATACCCGCCAGCTTAAAGATTGCGACCTTGTTCCCGCTCGCGGCCATGCGGCCCAGGCGGCTAGCGGAGCCTTTCAGCGAGGTGCTCATGGAAGAGAACTTGCCGGACTGGATGTGTGGATCACAGATGTCAGCAGGCACGTCTTTTTCTGTACAATTACTAGCTGGGAGCAGGGTGTTGAGACTGGAGGGGAGGATATGGGAGAAGGGGGAGAAGGGGCAGGGGAAGAAGGAAAAAAAGGGAGAGGAGAGAGATAGGGGGGTAAGTACCGTATCGTCAATGACATCCTGCGCCCTGGCGTTGTCGTAGATGTCGACGGTGACGTCTCGCAAGGCGGAGACCTTTGCAGATAGCTCCGAGAGGCGCGAGTTGTTCTGGCGCTCGCGTTCGTAGGCGTCGGACATCTTTGTTTGTGCTTGCTTGCTTGTCTGTCTGTCTGTATTACTGTCGGTAGGCGGGTGTGCCTGGCCTGCCTTCCTGCCTTCCTTCCTGCCTGCGTAATGGATGTGGGGGGTGGATGTTCCTTGGGTGTTCTTAAAATACGTCGTAATGCAAGAGAAGTAAGGCAAGGTAGGGTAGAGAAGAAGGGGTGCGTGGCGCAAGGCTGTGTGCTCGGCTTGAGTGGAGATGCTTGCTTTCTTGCTTGGTGTTGTACGGAAGGAAGTTGTAGGTTCGGATTCGGATTCGGTTGGCTTGGGAGAGAGGGATGGGCTTTGTTTCCCGGTCTTTGTTGGAGTTAGGTGGACGTATTCTTTGCGAGGTTTCCGGAGCTGGTCTGGTTGATGCTGCTGTCGAGATGCCGATGTCGACGTCGATGTCGATGTCGATGTCGATGTCGGGCTGCAAGTTGACAATGTCCGCGTGGAAGAGCGGGCTCAGCTCAGCCACAATTGGTGGCTGTGTGGCTACTTAATGACATCGCCCGGCTCCACGTTGAAATGTCAAACTTCCACAATTATTCCTTTGCGACTACCCGACTAACCCCACCATCCACTATAACTTCTCCGACAAACGACCCAGCGAATCTCTACTCGACAACAACATACTGTTCCACCCGACTGCGACTACTGACATTAAATCCCCCCGATCTTGTTAGCTCTCCACACCAAAATGGGGATCCATAACCCTCTCCCGTCGTCGATGGCGTGTAAGTGATCCTCTTGCCAGTGTCGTCGGCAGTTGCTGATACTTCCCTCAACAGCGGAATGCAAGAAGTGTGCCAAGATTCTCTTGTCTTTCACCGACCCCCGACAGGCCTTTGGACCAGATAAGATTATCCCCCCTTCAGTGCTGGCAAACGCAAAGGTATATCTGCCCCGAAGAACAATAAGAGGAACAAGAAGAAGAACCTTTCCAGAACGCAAGTTCGGCACCGCTGACTGGGGGTCCAGGGACTCGCGATTCTCACCGTCATCAAAGCAGGCTTTCTCGGCTCGGGCCGCTACGGTAATGGCATCGTCGTCGCTCGCCTCGCAGATGGAACCTGGAGCGCGCCCTCTGCAATTGGAACCGGAGGGGCCGGCTTTGGGGGCCAGATCGGTTTTGAGCTCACAGACTTCGTCTTCATCCTCAACGACGCCGCGGCCGTCCGAACGTTTTCCCAGGCGGGTTCCCTCACCCTCGGTGGCAATGTATCCATAGCTGCGGGACCGATAGGACGGAATGCCGAAGCTGCTGGCGCGGCGAGTATGAAGGGTGTGGCGGGAGTCTTCAGCTACAGCAAGACCAAGGGGCTGTTTGCGGGTGTGAGCTTGGAGGGGAGCGCGATCATCGAAAGAAGGGATGCAAATGAGAAGTTGTACGGGCAGCGCTTTACTGCGGTACAGCTGCTGCAGGGAACCGTGAGACCGCCTCCTGCGGCGCAACCGCTTATGAGCGTCCTGAACTCCAGAGCATTTGCTGGGATACCGCCGGGGGACGATGCTACATATAACGATGTTCCGGTATATGACGATACGCACGACGACGTGGTGTGGGAGGGACGAAGGGGAAACGCGATGGGAGAAGGTGTGCGGAGGGATCGCACGGGAAGCGTAAACGACTACCAATCCGACTACAAATACAGTGATACCAGACCGAAGCGAGCGAGTACCTGGGCAGACGATATCTACGACCGCCCTACCAGCAATTCCTCGCGGATCAACAGCTTCAATACTGGCGGTGGCAGCATATCTGGCCGAGATACCAAAGGCTTCCAAGAAGACTACGTCTACGAGGATATGCCCCGAAACATGACTGGCAACAGCAAGATTGGACCTGGCAGACCGTCGGCGCCAAAGCCTCTATTTCAAAGTAAAACGGGCAGTCTGCGCGATAACGAGGCTGTCGCGATATACACGTTTGATGGCGAGCAAGCTGGTGATTTGGGGTTCAAGAAGGGAGATATTATCCAGGTGACGAAGAAGACGGAGAGTACAAATGATTGGTGGTGAGTACTGCTGAATGGAAAGCTTTACTTCTGTAGAGAATTAACTCGGTACAGGACCGGCATAAACGGAACCCGCACCGGCATATTCCCGGCCAACTACGTCGAGATGAAGAAGAAGTAGACGGGAGGCGCGCTATGATTGCTCGTTCAGCCCTGTAACTTTTAATGACTATCTCGGCCAGCAAGCAAGCTCCGAGAGACAGCTTGCATCCGAGGCTGCGATACGGTGCGAAATACTTTGATACGTCCAGTTTGAGATCTTTTTTTTTTCAATACTTTCAAGATGAGACGGCTTGGAGTCGCATAGGAAATGGAGTTTGGGCTCGAGGGTTACTGGCCTTTTCTACTTCTTCCCCTTTTTGCGAGCTTGCTTCAATCGATGAATCAATTTCCATTCTGCATACGCAAAATCAACGCTGATGAAAGATATCCTCAGGTGCCATCACCTTTTCCTCTCTCGTGAAACACCATGTGCAGATGATGCCTCTTTCATTTATTTGAACAGGATGTGGTCATTTAAATCTCAGTCAGGCAGGCTCCTCCTAGCTTTTCTCGCTCTATCTTCCCCAGCCATCTCGCATCTCGCCCACGGGTCAACTTCCATGTGCGCTTCTTGATTACCATCCTTCTTTATTCTCTTTTCTCATTCTTTATCCCCAACCACCCACCCATTGAGAACAGAACAAATAAAACCCTATGCTGCGCGTTCCTGTCCTGCCGCAAGCGCCGCAAGCGGGAGTCCCAGTCCCGTTCCGTCCGACCGTCTTTCTCTCTTTCTCTCTTTCTCTCTCTCTATGTCTCTCTCTCTCTTTCTTTCTTTCAGCCAGCTCAGCCCAACCCAGCCCAACAGTAAGTCCAACAGTTCAATAGTTCAATAGTTCAACTTGCGTCTTTGTTCCTGTTCCGGTTCCGGTTCCTTTTCCTTTTCTCTTTCTCTGCTTCTCTGCTCTCTCTCTCTCTTCTCTGCTCTCACCCCCTGGAAATCCCTCTACCATCTTATCTTATTCTACTCCATCTCGCTATCTATTTCTTCTCCTTCTGCTGCTGCTGCTGCGGCACATCACATTACACTCTGCATCCATCCATTCATTCACCTCTTGTTTGATCGAGTTATTGCTATTGTTACTGCTATTGCCGCTACAGCTGCAGCTGAAAAACAGAAACAAAATCAAAAACAAACACAAAAGCAAAAGCAAAAGCAAGCACGAACACGAACACAAACACAAACACGAAAACAGAACTCCACTCGCTAGCTAGCTACAATGGCAGCGCCCCAGCCTGCTCAGGTGTCAGATCTGGACAGTGACAGTGGCAGTGGCAGTGGCAGTGGCAGTGATATGGACATGGACAGTAACAGTAACACTGACAGTAACAGCGACATTGACAGTGAAGGGCAGGAAGTGGCGGCCTTCTACACGGAGGTTCTGCAAAATGCTGGGGTGCCGCAGGGCGATGTGGCAAACATTGTAAATGTATGTTTTTTTTTTTTTCTTTTTTTCTTCTTTTTTTCATATTTACCATTCTTCCAGTCATTACGCTGCATGTAGCCTTGGGAAGGGAAGACTTGACTACCTCGAGAGATATCAACGATTATTTGGATCGCCGCTGATGAATCTTTCTCTTCTTCTCGCCTGGCGTAGGATATCAAGACCCAGTACCAAGCCATGAAGTGGTCTGAGGATAAGCGTCGAGATCTGATCCCTCTCTACGATGGGAAGGGCTCTAAAATGCTCAGCGGTTCCATGCTCTTCGACCCCAAGCAGGAGATCACTGGGTCCGATACCCTGATCGGTCTTATTGCACACCTCAAGGCCAGCTCGGCCCTCCTCGCCGACGACGACAGCCTCCTCAAACCCAGAATCGACAAGATCTTGGACTACTGGACGAGCGCCTGCTCCCTCAAGCAGCTCGACCGCTTCCTCAACCGGGGGCAGCCGCAGTTTCTGGGCGCGCCCAGCCCGAATGGCATGAATCTGGATACCCTCGCCGTCAATCCTAGCGGGGTCCCGCACTTCTCGTACGAGCACCAACTGCGGAGGTCGACGGTCCGTTTGCTTCACTACCCGGGCCTCCTGTTTTTCGACGAGGAAGGCAACTTCGACAATCTCCGCGCCGACAGATTCGGGCTCCTGTACACCGTGGCGCGGGTTCTCCTCGAGTACGAACTCGGGACCAATAGGCCTGACCTTGCGGATAAGTTCTCGGTTGACCCGCGCGATGCCAATAACAGCCAGGCGACCTGGCTGGGAAAGGCGAGGGCCAGAATACAAGACACGCTGGAGGCTGTGGCCGTGATCGCTTGTCAGCCGCTAGACAACAGACCCCTTGGGCAGAGGCTTCAGGAGCGGTTGAGCCGTCGGGCAGCGAGGCATGCGGCGGGCTTGCCGAGGCTCACTTCACGGGAAGAGGCGCTGGCAGAAGCGACCATCTTCAGAGGGAACATCGCCGTCGACGCGGTGGGGTCGCTGCAGAGGCTGATTGCCAACGTGCAGGCCCAGGGTGCTGCCTTTCTCGATTCCCTGATTGCGGTACGTACGCTCTCGCGGGGCTGGCAGCTCCGAACTGGTCCGGGAATTTAGACATGCATATCTGATCTTATGAGTGAGCAGGAAATCGACGCACGCCTGCAGGCGGACGAGAATGATCATATCGACCCCTTGCTTCTGGATCTCATCAGCAGGGAAGATGCTTTCGAGCGCGCTCTGACGGTTGAGCATTACGAGGATAAGCTTATCAATAAGCAGGTCTCCGTCTTGGACGAGTCGCGTATCACGGAAGAGGAAGTAAGCGACCCCTTTATCAACAAAGACCCGTGAGGAAGCGTGATGATGCTCTTCCACGGAAAATACCTTGGTAGCCACACTGACTCTCGCATAATTTAGTGGCTTCGTAGTTGGAGCATTGAGAGGGACTTCATTGACCAATTGAAACCAGGCGGCACCCTCGCGGAGCAGGAGAGATACGTGTATAAGGTACTAGGGGATATGAGTTTGGTTAATAGACATAGGAGGAACTTTCGACTGTTGCGCGATTGGGCGGTGAATATGCGACCTTGGTAAGTTTTTTCGCTGATTGTCGATTGGAGTGCGGAAAGCGCTTTTTTCGTCGACGCCATCCAATTGAGGTTCCGAGGTCTCTAGGAACTCACTCCTCCGGCACGCAAAACACCCCTATGCCATAACTCTTCGGCCCAGCTCCGAAACTTGGTTCAGGGACGATGTACTGACACCCACAGGAAACAAATCTACCAGCTTTATTCGGAAAATGACGCGCCATGGGTCAAGGAAGGTATCAAACAATTTGATCGGAAAACCGAGACGGCCTTCGCCAATATACCTCTCGACGTCAGCGCAACAGCTTACCAACACGTCGTCCCGAAACTCTTTGGCATCAAGCCCGTTAACATCGACGACCCGTCCAGCTCCCTGAGCATAGACCTCGTCGGAACCGGACCCATGCGGAAGCTGTGCCTTATCTGCAATAAGCAGATGGGTCCTGGCTTGTCCGTCACCAGCACGGTCGTCGAGTTGACCTGCTCTCCCGTTTCGCATTTCTTCCACCTGCAGTGCATGTTTGAGTATTGGGACATGCCGGGCAAGCTCCTGCACAGCTGCCCGACCTGCGGCCACATGGCCAAGCTCAACTACGAGACCGTCGGTATCGAGCCAACCGGAGCCGGCGACGCCGAGTTCAGCCACAATTGCATGGACTACCCGATGTCCTCCACCGTCGCCCCGTTCCTCAACCACCCAGACCCCGTCATACGAGCCAGAGTCCGCAAGCTCTACGACGTGCCGGGTCCCCTCGACCCCGACCCCAACTTCCCGGACCTTGTGCACCCGTACTGGAGGCGGGAGAACGCCCTGAAGCTGCAGTGGGACAACATGGCCATCAGGTGGGAGAGCCGCGTCTTCCCCCCAGGGGTGCTCGCGCGCGCGCCCGCCCCCCAAGGCAACAACGCGCTGCTGGCGGTCGCGTCCAACAACCCATTCCTGCAGGACCGCCAGCAGGCGGCCACGGGCGGGGTCATCACCACGGCGCAGGCTAGGGAGCAAGAGATGGTGAGACGGGTCGCGGCGGATCTGGGCCGGAGGTACTTGAGTCTGCGGGTGGCGGCGCAGAACATCGAGGCGGCGAGGGCGATGGCTGCCGGCCAGGATCCGCCGCCGGACGACCTGGAGGATCTGAACACGACGCGGGTGTTGCCGGGGGCGAGGTACGGGCCGCAGGTGGAGGCGGCTTACATGCGGTCCGCGCGACGGAGGAGGAACGCGAGGCAGCGGAGGCTGGTCGCAGAATCACGAAGGGGTTTGAGTGGGTTGAGATGAAGCGGCAGCCGACGTTGCGGGTGTGGGTGGGAGAGGAGTCACGTGATGTTGCTCCCAGCAACGAGGCGTGTGAAGTTGGAGACTGCATTTTTGGTTTTTGGATGTGTTTTTTTTTTTCTTTTTCTTTTTCCAAGTACTGCTGGATGTAATATGCAGCTGGTACGCATTGGCTGGCTCGGTGGTTGTGTGTCTAGGTAGCTAGCTGCCTGCGTAATCTGCGTCTCATGTTTGAACACGGGGAAAGAGGACCAAGATGTTGATTTATGGATAGATTTATTTACCTTTTATTTACCTTCCTGCCTTGTTTTTCCTCTCCAGGAAAGCACACACATACACGGGCACACACACACACACACACACACACACATATATCTATATATATTGCGTAGCCTGGGTGTTGGGATTTTATACTAGTAACTCGCCTACGAACTTCGACGAGCGACGAGGAGGGCAGATCAGGCCAGATCACGGGGGAATAAGTAAAGACGGAGGGAAGGGGGGGGATTACTTAGGTAGCTGCTGATGTAGGTAGATGATACAATTTAGATATTCATTTTGGTTGGATTTTTGTTTCTCTCTCTCTGTCTGTCTTTCTTTCTTTCCTCCTTCCCTCCAAGCACAAAAAGGAAAGAAGAATGAAAAAGTGCGACGGACGGAACTCCGTAAAGACCACCAGGGGCAAAGCGAGGAATAGGCCAAGTGGGCCCCAAATCCCATCCCAAGTCCGAACGCAGGCGAAGTGAAGCACCGCACCGCAGCGATGGATGGATGAATGGGTCGTCGGTCCGGAAGAAGGTGAAGAAGGTGAAGGTGGCTAAAACGCCTTCCGTCCCGTGGCGGTCACGAGTCAGAGAGTACGTGGGTACGAGTAGAAGGGTGAGGGGTGGGATTAGCCGGCCGGTTGTTGCAGCGCGCCGGGGATTATCTGGCTATGGCATCTCCGTGTATCTCCAGCAGGAGGTTACTACTACTAAGTACTACGGTACTACTTACGTACCTATACTCTGTATTGCTGTTCGCTATTGGCGCGGGATGCGTGTCGGTGACTCGGTTGGGTGGGGGTTTATTTTTATACAAAGCATGTAGTAGTAGTAGTACAGACAGAAGGAACTTTGTCCTTTGACAAGGGCAAAGGCTTAAATTCTCGTTGCGAGGACTCTGTAATTTCCTCGACCTGGTGCGTTTCGGGGTCCTTTGTCAAGAGAAACTCTGAGCTTGGAAAGGTAAAATTGCGAGGTGGCGAGTGATGTCGATTGGTGGTGGGTGGTGCCAGTTGTTTTGTTTGTTTGTCCCACGCATACACGCTCCTGGGATCCGATTACCTATCCCATCCCATCCCATCCCACGAAAAACGCCCCCCATTGTGAGATGTGCTGCCGCCATGGGGCATCTCCTCCCTAAAGCGCCCAGCGACGCGATGCCATGCCATGCCATGCCATGCCATGCCATACGCAGCGCTGAGTTGATGGTTGGTGTAACTTGTACCTGCTGCTCTGCTGGCCGGCCAGTCAAAAGCAAATCGAATTGCAATATACCGTGGACTCCACATCAGATCACCACCCACCGCTTGAACTTACCGTACTTTCAAGCAACAAGCCGGCTGCAGCGCCCAAGTCATTGCTGACATGGGATAGGTAGTCGGTCCTCTTGAATCTCGAGTTGCGTCCCCCAACTCGCACACCGCTATGTCTGTTAGCAGCAGATCTACCGAGTACACATCTTGCATATGGCTGGCAGCTGCTCGCATGGGAAGCAACGACAACAGCTCTTACCCCCATGGCCTCTGCATAAACGCCGGCGCTTCAAAAGCTTCGAAATAAGGCTTCCCCCAGTCGTTGGAAATGTCGTTGCAGTTCGTAGAATTCGCTGTTGTTAGCCAAGCCAGAGGCCATGCATGATTATCTGATCCGTCAGTGCCACCGACCGTCGCACCCAGGCGAGGCTGCTGAGTCGTAATCGAGTCCACGGGTACAGTCGGTAGTCGTCGTCGTCGTCGTCGTCGTCGTCGTCGTCGTCGTCGTCGTCGAAAGCAGGAGAAACGGGAGGTATTCTGCTTGGTCGAAGCCCGACCCGATCATCCCAACGCTCGCGAGCAATCGTGAGATGGGAGACCTACGGACGGTATCAGAGTTTCCCGGTGTCTGGCTTTCCTCTGAGACCCGGCCCGCGCAGCCCAGCCCGGCCCAGCCAGATCAGTGGGTTCCGGTCTCTGGGCTTGATGTTCAATCTCTCTTTGGCTTTCTTGTGACCGCTTGATACCGGTATTCGAGCGTCCAGGAAAGCCCTGGCTCTTCCACAAGGTAACCAGGGGTCCAACGGATGGTCCTTGAGCGTTGATTCATACTGTATGTAGCTTCTGTCTGATGACTGCTCCGTCTGCTCTCCCCGCGGTCTGGCAGTCTTGATGTCGTCTCGTCTCGTGCTCCTCGCCACGGCGCGGCGCGGCGTGCATCTGGATCTTGACTTTGGATTTGGATTTGGATTTGGATTTGGATTTGGATTTGGACTTCGATTTGGATTTCGATTTGGATTTCGATTTGGATTGCAGGAGAGCGAGCGACCCCCACCCGACGCGACGGAAGACGAGGATCAGGGACCTGCTCTAAACATCCGCCAAACAATCGCTAAGCAAACGGGGTCGGGGGGCAGTCCGACCCTGAAAATCAATTCTTAGTGCCTTGGATAGGGGACGTGCAAGCAGCGGGCACGCCCTGGCGTGGCCGAGATCCCATTTCCCGGATTGTCGATCCTGGTTCCGGCGTGCTGACTCTTGCGAGTGGTGAGTGAGTGTGTTTAGTAACTTACTACGGTACCGGTACTGACTGAGCTACGGAGTAGGAGTTGCTCGGAGGACACGCAGCGCTAGAAGGACTGGAAACCTCTTGGTTGTAGTAGTCGTAGTAGTAGTAGTCGTAGTCGTAAATGCATACCGGTACGTAGTATATGCATGCATGCATGTACGTAGTATTCCTCGCTCTGTGTGTACTGTAGCACGGACGGCCGACGCTGGGCGCAGAGTTAGTGACCCTACCTCGCCTTACCTTGCAGCTAGTAGTAAGTAGAAAGGTGCCGTGATCTGGGACGGATAGCTGCGATATTTGAGGAGCCACCAGAAATTCCCCCCCAAACTAGTTCAAAAGGGCTTGGTCCCCCCTATCCCGTCGTCTCAGCTCGTCCGCTTCTGTTTCCATCTCCCATCTCTCATTACCATCTGCTGTCTGATACCCTATATCAACATACCTCCCGTCCCCCTCAGCTCGTCGTCTTTGCCCTTGCTTGCCCTTGCCTCTGTCCTCTCCTCTGTCGTGCCTCGTCGAACGGCGTTTGTTTTGAGAGATTATCGGTACCTTTGCTCTTCGGATCCCCCGTGACGCATACCAAACACCTTTCCGCGATATCCTCTTGAAAAAAGTCTCGTCGTGCGCCTCTGCTACCGACGGTCCCCGTTCCAAGATTTATACCCAGGAACCTCGCCTCTGATCCTTCCACGGAGAGCGAAATAGCCTTTGCGGATTCGAAAAGACCTGTTTGCTTTGTTTGTACTTTGCACAGCATCTAGACAACTGCTCCTCCGGTCTGTAGTAGAGCAGATTTTTTGATATTTAATAGAAAGGAACACCAAGAGCTGGATTTCTTCTGCCACCATTTTTCAGTATATATTTCTGCCTCGTTCGTCTCACGGATTTCCTATCGATACCCACTTCGCACATTCTGCACACTCCATTCACCTTCGGATACCCTCGAGATTCAACAGAAAAGCTCTTTGAATTATTTGTTGCGACGTGAATTCAGGTGAGGAGCGTCCGAAAGAACGGTGGCGTGGTATCAAGCAGGCTCGCTAACCTGTCGACTTCTCACAGAACAATTCAATATTAAGGAAAAATTGCTGCTAGCGGAACCAATTCGAGCACGAAAGACTCACCAGACAGACGAAGTGAATTGGAAAGGAAAATCGGCAAATCGACGCTAACGTTTGGCTTCAATTCTCGAGATTTCGAAACTATTTAAACTCGCTTTGTCTCCTCCATCGACATCTTTTTCCTTCCACTCCACAACAGCTTCTCTCCTTCGACAGATTTCTCAACATCCAAATCTTTTCGATCTCCAGTCAACTCCCAGATACCCAAACACAACACCAACCCATACACAAACCGTGAGAATGTTCTCTCGCTCTGTCACCCGTGCGGCGCGCAACGTTCGCGTCGCTCCCGTGGTTGCCCGATCTGTTCGTCCCTTCACCAATAGTGTCCGCCAGAGTGAGCCAGTCCCAGAGGTAGTCGCTGCGACGGAGGTCAAGCACTCGTCCTACGCAGCTGGCTCCGTCGAGAGATCAACTATCAAGGTTGATCAGAGCGCCGTCGAGTCTTCTGGTCCCCTCAACCACACCACCTACAGCTCCCTTCCCCCTACTATGCAAAAGTATGCCTTGGTCAACAAGGTCGTCGTCGTTACTGGGTACGTTCTATCCGATCTTGCCTTTCTCTGCAGAAAATCACTAACGATCTCCTAGTGGCGCCCGTGGACTCGGATACAACATGGCCCAGGCCTGCATCGAGGCTGGCGCAAAGGCGTTGATCATTCTCGACGCGAACTCTCAGACCGGAGAGGAAGCAGTCGCATCTTTACACAAGTTCGCCGGCCTGACTGTCCCCGTGGCCTTCTTCAACGTTGACGTTCGGGATGAGAACGCTATCAACGAGTCCATCAACGCGGTCGTGCAGGCCTATGGTGTACCCGATGTTCTGATCAACTCTGCCGGAATTGCCGAGTAAGCTCTCCACTTAATTTTCACTGTCCAAAACAAAAAACGATCTGAGCCCTTACTAACCTCTACCCAGCTCCAACATCCCTGCCGAGAAGTACGATACTACAATGTTCAGACGTCTGATCGACATCAACCTCAACGGCACCTTCCTGATGGCCCAGGCCGTCGGCAAGCACATGATCGAGGCGAAAAAGGGCGGCTCCATGGTCTTCATCGCCTCCATGTCCGGAGGCATCGTCAACTACCCCCAAGAGCAGAGCTGCTACAACGCCTCCAAGGCGGGTGTCATCCAGCTCGGCAAGTCGCTCGCCGCCGAGTGGGCCAAGTTCGGCATCCGCGTCAACATGATCTCCCCCGGCTACATGGACACCGCCCTCAACAACGTCCCCGCCCTCGACGCCCAGAAGAAGATCTGGAAGTCGCTCACCCCGCAGAACCGCCTCGGTGCCGTCGACGACCTCAACGGTCTCGCCGTCCTCCTGGCGTCCGACGCCTCCGCCTTCATGACGGGCTCCAACGTCATCATTGACGGCGGCTACACCTTGTACTGATCGCTAGTAAAGTGAGGAGAGGAGTGTTCCAGGGAGTTGCGCCACCCGGCAACGGATTGCCTACTTTCTACCCGGGGCTTACGGCCATCTCTTTGGCGTGTACGTCTTCTTCTCACTCACGGCCGCGTGGGGAACGTGGGGGTGGGGGAGGTTCGGATTCTCTTCTTCCTCCTCGGATGAACAAAAAAACAACAAAAAAAAGATCCTCTGACTCATTTGCTTGCCGCGTCTGTTCTTACAGGGTGTTTATTCTGGCAAGGGGGGGGGAACGGCTCGCTACAACAGCAGCCTCATAGACGGACGGCGTTTTCTTTCCCCAGCGAGTGAGCGATCGTAGATGACTGGCCTGCCAGCCGAAGAAAAAATCGCAGCCCAATCAATCATTCCAACTTTAATAGTGAAATAAAAAAAATTAGAGAGAGAGAGAGAAAGGGGAAGAAACCTGCTCACTTCAGAACTTGCTTGCCTGGTCTTCTTCTTTGTGATTTCCTACCTACCTCTCCTACCTACCTATCTCAGTCACCATCACCATCACAAGTAAAAAAAAAAAAAAAAAAAAAAAAAAAGTAGCACTCCACCACGCCCAACAGAACCAATCAACGAACGAGTGCCCTCTCCCCTCTTATCCTTCCTCATCTCCATCTCCATCTCCACCGCCTCATTCCCCCTCCCCCTCTCCCTCTCCCTCCCCCTCTCCCTCTCATTCAACTTGCCCACATCACAACCCATCACAACCCATCGCATCATACATACCTAACACCGACCCATACTTCTTCTTCCGCAGCTTTTCCCGCCTTTTTGTCCCCCCCCCCCCCCGCCTCCCTCTTCTTCTCCCTCTCCTCGCTCGTCCTGCTGCTGCTGTACTGCTGGGAGGAATCGGGACGGGAAGGGAGGAAGATACTTCACTTTCTGTTGCTGGGTGGGTTTTTGATGGCGGGTTTGTTATTTGTTATTGTTTGTTTGTTTGTTTGTTATCCGTGCATTTATTGTTTGTTGTTTGTTGTTTGTTGTTTGTTATTTATGATTTAGTATTTGTTATTTAGACCCCTAACTCTACTTGCAGCGGGCAGCTGGCTGGCTTCGTTCATCGGATGGTGGTATATATATATATGTTTTACTGGATACCGATATTGGTCCCTTTTATTTTATCTTCTTTTCTTTTATCTTCTTTCTCCCTTGACCCCCCCCCCCCCCCCTCTCGCTTACTTGCCTTTGACTACCCACTTGCCCAGCCTTGGATAGATGTTGATGGACGTTGAGATAGATAGATAGATAGATAGATAGATAGATATAGATAGACCGTAGATTTTTCGGCTGATGGTGGGCCCTCTTTGTGCGTGCGTGCGTGGATTGGGGGAGGGGGGAGGGGGAAGAGGGGTTAGATGGATGAATTGAAGGATTAGCTATAGAAGGCTAATACCGGTGATGGGAAATTTTGCCGCGCATAATGGACTCTTCTGAATACGGAGATCTATTTCCGCGTTCCTATCAAAACCTCAACTACTACACCCATCACAACCAGCACAATCAGCACAACCAGCACAACCAGGCATGTTAACCACCACACACCTCTCAAACCCCTCCCCCCCCCCCTTGTTCTCCGTATCTGCTACGAAAATCAACTTATTACTTGAAGTGAGTTGACGCGCTGGCTTTCAGGCTCCTTTCTTGTAAGCTGACCTCCTTTGCCTTTGAATCACGCGCGCCAACCCCCAGCTAACACACCCCCTTGATTCCCTTCGTTTGAAACGAATACTAATCTATTACTCAAAGTAACTAAACGCGCTAATCTTTAGGCTCCTTTTCCTCTTAACTTTATAAGCTGACCGACCTCCTTTTCCTTTCAACCTCACGAGCTAAAATCTTCCAAACCTTAGACTTCAACCGACTTGATCGATCTCCCTTAAACCTCACGGTCCGATTGACATGGAAATAAAAAGACGGCGCATCGGGTTTAGATTGGATTGATTGCGAGATCTGAGCGTAGTTGTAAGTAGAGCACGATATGAGGTGTTAGAAAAGTTAATAGGAAGGGGGGCGTCTGATCGATTTAGGAAAGAGGGAGAGCAATGAACTTGTCGTCATGTACATGTGGCGGGGTAAGGGGAAAGGACGGCTCAGGCGGGCGATTAATCATCCATAAGATCTTAAAAAGCGTAAGATTCGATCGATAAGGATAAAAGACAGCTTGGTAGCTTAAGTAGCAGGATGAAAGCTTACTGAAACGACGAGAACTCATTATGTATAGCTATACAATGGTATTTATTCTTTCAGCGAGCAAGCATATACCCCGGACCCGGCGCCGGGCATTTATAGAATAGAAAACTCTTGTATTATAGGTATACTATAACTAATATTATATATAACCTTCTATTTGACCCCTTTAATAAATACATATCAGATTCTCTTTCTTAGCCCTTAAATAGAGCTGAGAAACCCTCCATCTCGAATAGCCAGCAATCCATAAAAGCCTCCTTTTCTGCGATATGAAATTTCATCATCGTAAAAGAAAAAGATGGTATCCTTTCCCCTTTGCGGGTACGGCGCGTACTCGGGTTTTCCAGCCTCTAGAAGTCCGAAATACTCAGTACGCAGATCCTTTGTGCAAGCTATCTTGGCTGCTAAAACACGCTTTTAGCGCGTTTCATGCTTTAGTTTTTTACTCTGATCTTTTTTCTGGACCCTGCTTGTTTACTTGGCTTTTTTGCTTGCTAAACTGGCCCTGACGTTGTAAGATACTCTTGCGTAAAGAAAGGACTTGTTATTACAGCTCATCCAGGCCAATTTCGATCAAGTATTCGGTTTTTATGACTGTATTGGTCTGAACTACGAGAGACCTGGCCCTCGAATCCGCTATCTATAATCATCACTATTATGAACTTGGTTTTCGGTTCTGTTATGGTTCCACTTTCAATCGACTGTAGGTTCTACACCTATCACATCTAACGTTTAACAAAACCGCTGTCTTTCGAGCCTCACTTCCGTGATAAGAGCTTGCACCTGACTGCAAATCTATTGCCAGACAAACCGACTGACGTAGAACTCTTCACTAAGCCATTCTGCCGCACCGAGCTTTGCGCCACTCCTTAACACGATGAACTGCTCCCGCCGCAATCCAGCCCCTTCCTCAACAAGTCTCCTGACACCTCTCCCTGACTGTCAGCCACACCACCGCGCTCCTTCCCGATTCGGCCTCAATACATCCAATCCCGAGAATCTTACACATCCCTGTCAGCCTTAGAAACACGCCAATTCACACTTTTGCCCAGCTTCAGAAATTCATCTCTTCCAATCGTCGGTGAGCTTAAACACAATGCGAAAGAAATTGATCCGACTTGGGCAAGTCGGAACCACCAAGGCGGGACAGTTCCTTTCGCCCTTATAAACTCGATAAAAAATCAACCGCTTATCGTATCGCTGTTATCTCTGTATGATAAGATGCAGTGTAGTGGGTTAATCAGAAAAAACCCCACACAATTTCAATTATATATCGTTGGTTCATTATTGTGCTGAATGAATTAAAGTAATAAAAATGGTACTTTTGGTGTACTTTTGTTATACTTTTCGACGTTACTGGTTCGTGCGCTGATTAAGCGAGAAGAGTCAATAACGCCCTTCTCGAGCTCGGAAGCTAAGCGCCAGAGCTCTTCAAATATTGGTGACGTTCGTCACGTTGCTGTAATCTCGACTAATGTATAATTATTAATAGTAAAAAGGAGGGGGATGGGAGAAGAGAAAATTTCAAAGAAGCAACTGCTTGCGTTATACCTAAGCGGGCTATTGCTAAGTTTGAAATTCTAGAGACAGCGGCTTGCATTACATTTAAGAAGGCTACTATTAGGAATGAAATGCTAGTGAAACAGTTGCTTGCATTACAGTCAAGGAGGCTATTACTAATAATAGATTGTTAGAAAGACAGCTGCTTGCATTATACTCAATGCGCCGGAATTGTTTTGACGGTCCAAGATCCGAGAAATGACTTTCCAGTACCTAAATCACTGATTAGATCTTGGGAACATAAATTATGAAACCGTACATTTGCAGTAAGTTATCAATAATGATGAAGTTTGCTTACCGGGAGGACCTCGAATAACACTGACTGGCTTCGTAAATGTATTGACAGCTGAAGATATCTGAGACTCGTCCCGCTCAAATGTTTGCCCAGTATTTGCTCGAATTGTGAAACGGCCTTTCGCATCAATAGTACTAAGGTTCCTCTCGGCTTTCGATCTGAGACTCGGAAATGGCTGAAAGATATCGTCGCGTACCGTCGGAGAGAGAAGATTTGGTCTAGTGGAAACTCCATCCTCTTCTTCAGCGATTCCAAGATCGGCTCGGGAAGCAAAAACTGGAGTGGTGACTAGAGCGAAGCGAAGGTCTAGACGCGTCTTTCATAGCTATGACGGCTTTCCGAAAAGATATAGAATCGGGGAATTAAAGAACTACTATAACTGGGTTTCGCAAAAGAAGGTCAATGTTTCGGTTGATATGCGCAAACCCATAACTGTCGTGCTCGCTCAGCAGAGCTCCGAACGATTGATGTTTGTGAAAGGTCTCAGAATCCGTCAGGAACTTCTTCTTGCTGCTTTCAGCTAAGCCTGTCAATCTCCCCAATCCCGATCCACAGTGTAGCGCAAGGCAAGCCTGACCATCCTCGATGTAGAGCCCTGCGATAGAAAGAATTCCGAAGGTCTCCGACTTTCGAGCATTCTTCTGGCCAAGAGCAACATTTAACCCAGTCCGCAACTCACCCAACATGTCTTCTCTGAGTAGCTGAAATTAATTTTCGCGATGTATCATCGTGCGTTCATTCTCTGGCGTTTCCTTCACCTCCTTGGCTTTAAGATAATATAGTGTTTTTTTTAAAGAGGATATCGTCCGTCATGGGATAGATGCGGATCTGCAATAGACGCGCATCTGCCGATAGCCCGCGAAGTCGTTATCATGTTGTCCACCAAGTCCAAAAGCAGCCTTATTAGGGGTTTTCGATCTAGTGTACTATGGATGAGGTTGTTCCTGTTCCAGAATGTGGGTGGGTAGGTGATAGCCAGTAGCAAGTCATTGAGGAATGAACCATCGGCGAGTAATTTCACTCCTGGGTCCGAAAGGTATCCAATAAGCTTGAGAGAATGGGATTTGATAAAGCTAATAGAAATGTCGACTCTATAGTAATAGGAATCTCTGATGGGATCAAGTTTGGCCTTGTTTGAAAAGATAGTTCCCATACATCGACTAGGATTAATCTCGATCAAGGCGGCTTCAAGAAAGAGCAGCTTTGCATCAGCAGCTACAGTACTAGGCAACTGCTATTAGCCACTTAAGCGAGAACATCAAAATCAACACCAGACATTCAGCTAGTACTTCTTGATTACGCAAGAATTACAAATCCAAATCGAATTAAAAATGTATTATTTAATTCATTATAGTACTTCTTTTATTATTTTCAGTTTTTAAGCTAATTATTCGAATGCGCACGGACTTTAATACTTAGTATGCCAGCCTTCGGCCGCGATACAAGCTTTATTCTATCCGGTGTACTCTAATACAAATTATTAAATAACGATTATTCCAACGTACTACTATCTTACGCAGCTTGCAAACAAAAAACTTTATCTTTTACATTGGGTACTTTGGATTCGATTTATCGATTGCAATGTCGACTAGACGAGCTCCGATAAGAAATTGATGAAGTGCCGTTGGAAAGTTTTCTGGCCCGTACAAGGTCTTGGTCTGCCGAAGACATCGGTTTTGCTTCAAGTTCATTTCGAATAAGCTGCTACGTACGTAAGTAAATCTACTTATCTACCGTATCTACCTTAAAGGCTACTAAGCTCAACGAAGGGGAGATTTTAAGTCATCAGCCTGGTCCATGCACGCTTGGCAAGCAAAAGTCACCGAGGAGTACCTAGAAATATCAAAGTAAAATAATCATTAAAATCGATTGCAATTCGTTAATATGCCTCTTGAATAGCTATATATAGATCCCAAGTGGCGTTCGGACACTTGTCCATTTCTCAAATACCGACCCGCAGACTTGTAATCGACGAGTGGCCCAGCGGGCTGCTAGCAGTTGCGCATCGGAAGCGAATACAGATTTTGATGTTTAACTACTTGTCTTTGTGTATAAGATATACTACTATAAGGCTGACAAACAGGGTACCCACAATATGGATTAATTTGCGATTGCCAATAAATACTGTATATGCGATTCTCACCTCTTGTCTTCGGCCACCTCTGTCGTTTCGAAACGTAAATTCTACTCTCTTTTTCTTCATGTGGAAAGTCGGTCGCCAGATTTCAAGGGTAAGCGAACATCTGATTCGCTAAACAAAGCTTGGAACTCAACGGCTTATTTTCATACACTCTTAACCAAAAAAGGCCGGCCACGGTCACTCCGGCGGCGCTATGCCGGAGAAGCCGAAGATGTACGTAAGCAGCCCGATTTTCCTTTCAAATGTTAAGAGTGGGTCAATAAAGTAACACACGGGGTGGGAACCGGGGGCTCCCGTGGCCGCTTAACACCTCCCAAATGCAGAGACCCCTTCGCATTACAAACAAGCAAATTTAACGTCATACTACTACCCACTTCCCGCGCTTCCCGTAGACGCGGGGACCATCAAAGTCTCCGTCAGGCCATGATCCGGCGCCTTACGGTCTCGCTAAAGGTCAGCACTACTTGTCCTGACCAGTGGTCCTATAGGGAAATGTAAACAACACCAACAGATCGCAAGCGTCTAAGGTTCTGATTTTCCCCATATGCCTGAGTATAAAAGGATTTCGTTTTTGTTTCCTCGAAGAACGAATTCTGAACTGGCCGCATCTAGACAAAGGCTAATAATAACCTTGTAATTTTGTGAACTTGCTGAAGATTTCCGTAGCTGTATAAAGCCTTTCTTTCCAGCCCTGCTCAACGCATCTCTCACCCTCTCCATCTACAATTCTCACATCGATTCCAGACACTCCTTCGCCTTCCCCCAAAATGTTCACCATCAAAGCCCTCGCCGCCATGCTGTTGTATGTCCTTCTGCTCCCGTTTCATCTGGAATACTTCAGCATACTAACTTGGATCCCCCTTTAGTATCTCAGCCGGTAGCGCTCAATTGTACTCGTGTACCTGTGGTGTAAACCACGCCCAAACCAAGCTTGCCTGCGGCAGATTATCCGATGGACAGATGTCGGGTAATGAGGGTTTCTACCGCGTAAGTAAATTGGTTATCAGTTTGAGACTACCCAATCTTGTTCAAAACCCCCCCCCCCCCCGCCTCATGCATCAGCATATATGACAATCATAGCTACTGTAGCCAGTCTCCTCGATCTTATGCTAATCCGTTTTTCTGCAGTGCATGGTCTCAACTGTCGCGGCCCGCGACGAGTTTCTTACTCGATCATGCACCATGTCGCAGATGGAATGCTACGAGGACAACCAAAAATTCTCGTGCCTCTGCGGTGTAAACTATGCTCAAACCGAGCTCGCATGCAAAGCAACAGGTGTTGGAGAGATGACAGGCAGCCGCAATGACTACAGCGTAAGTGTTTGATCATCCGACGGAGACAGACCCATTCATCCCTTTTCAAACCCGCCGCTCCTCCTCATGAGATAGTACATAAGACTATCACAGCTATCATAGCAAAAGCGCCCTCCCTATCTGATACTAACACTTTTCTCTATAGTGTATCGTTCCTGACGCCAATGGCCGCGAACTCTTCCAAACTGACGCCTGCATCATTCCCGGCCGCAGTTGCGTGCCGATCGAAGAACAATAAGCTCTTCCAGAAGCTGCCGGCATTGCATAGACAAGATACGCATGGCGCACTGCAACTCTCTCCTACACCTCCTTTCTCCTTTGTTCGCTCAAACGGGCGTCTACTTCTTATGTACATATACCAAAAGTCCTCGGACTTATTTACCTAGAATCTGGTAGCAGAAAAGACCAAGCACACGATTGCTTCTATCACACATTTCTCACATGTGATATTCGGACGGGAGAGGCTTGACCATCAGCGAAATGGCACTTTCATCTCGTAGTTAACAAAGGCGGGTCCTGAAATACAACGAACATGGGGTCCCCAATCTCTGAAATGACTCAACCGTAGCCCTTTCAGAGCGGGAAATACCACGAGAGAAGAAACCCACTAATAAACACTAGCCAGCTGCTGAGGCAAGTAAACAAGCCGAATCCCCTCTCTAAAAAAAGGCTACCAAGTCTAGCCAGACAAAAAAAAAAAAACAGAAGAGGGATCGATCCGTAAATAAACAACATGTAAGTTTTTCCCTCAAACCAGTTCTTACTTAAATAAACAATATATTCCATTATTCATCATGCGTAAGACCACACTTGTAAGGCACTCGATCATTTCTCATACATAAAAGGCACACGATCTTTTCTTACGCGTACTACCTATCCGCTGGTACAATATAATCTCACGGGTATCCATCCCATCAAAGGAAACCGATACATACCGAGAAGCCAACCTACTTACTATACATCTCCCGGCCATCCAAATGATGCACATCCTTAGCTACGTACATTTGTACCCTCCCACTCCTATCCTCTCACTCCGATCCTCTCACTCCTATCCTCTCACCTACCACAACGGCAAGTAGAGAGAGGTCAATCCAGCACTCTTCTAACCCTCTTTCACAAAGAGACAAATTGCTTACTAGACCATCTAAAGCCAGCATCAAGTCTTACTTATCTAAAAGAATAATCTCATCGAATAGTCGATCGTCCCCGACCGGCCTAATAAGAGAAACTACCTACCCTATCATCCTTAGCCACCCTCCTCCACACCTTCAAAAGCACGCTCGTCAAAGAGGCTCGTTCCAAATATCTTCAAAACCAGATTAGCATGCATCTTAACCCGGGATACATACGATTAGAATACAATACAGAAACCTTCCCCCCCCCCCGGATGGTATCTTCTCGTTTTTCATTACAATCCAGTCAGCTTGTCTAAAACCAATTTAAATATATCAGAATATTAGTGTCAAGATGGGGAGGTTTTTTTCTTCTTTCGAGTATCGCTACCACCACCGCTTGTAGGTGGTACCTCAACGCTTCCAGAGATCTAATCAAGATCGGAACCGGTCGGCTTAGCAAACATTGATTTCATCATCGGGCGTCGTCAAAGGGAGTAATCAATTGCTTACTGATTAATAACATGTTCTCGAAAAAAAAAAAAAAAAAAACCCCCCCCCGAAAAAAAAAAAACGGGTCTCCTCCGTATAGTTGCGAGGACGTGTCAAAGACGGCCTGTCTGAAAACGCTCGAGATGGTTCGTTTCAAGGACGGCCTTTTGACGAGAAAGACGGGAGGGACTCTTTCCTATCAACAAACGATTACAATCGCTCGAATCGGTTCCCATTCCAGTTCAGTCATAATTTAAATCTAGTTTTTTTTTTTTTTTTTTTTTTTTTTTAATTAATTTACTTTACAAGTTTGACTCCATATCCCAATTTCAGCTATGGACCTGAGGTGATCTATCTACCAGCCACGCTACAGTAACTAACCTCCCCTCAAGACCGTCTCTAAATAAAAGAGGTCGTCATCGGATCGATGATCAGCTACCGTACAGCTACCGTAGCTGACTATCGAAAGGCCCTGTCTAGGATTCCCTTTCCAAGACATCCATCCGCTAGTATAACAGGATAATTTATCACGGGTACCTTATCCATCCCCTATCCCATCAGAGGAGACCGATATATACCGGAAAGCCGACCAACCTCCTTACCATACAGCGCTCCACCATCTAATTTATGCATAATTACATTCGACTAACTACATTTATATCTTCTCTCACTTATATATCGTCTCACTCTTATCTATATCTATATCCTCTCACTTATATCATCAACCATCGGCTCACACTAACCGCCTCCTCACCTCACATCCGCCACACTCCCCAACCCACCCACCTCTGCTTTCTTTCTTTCTTTCCTGTCAAAAGTATTCAGTTCTCACCTACACACCACGCACACTTAACTATCTTGCCCTACCTCGCCTTGCCGCGGCCCCATGCTCGTCGGCATTCATCCATGTCATTGATTCACAGCGAGCTGTCTGTCTCGAAAGATTTCATAGCTTTGCTTTACACCGGCCCCATTTGAGGGAGCCCATGACATATGCCCTCGTTCATAGTTTACGGGTCCGTGCCTGTTCCGCTCCGTTCTATCATGTCATTTCAAACAGGCAGCAGTATTGTACTCGTGGTAGTAACAACAGGCAGGCAGGTATCATCTCACATCTTTACAGCCATATATCCATTTCGGATTTGTCCCTGCCCTCCCCCTCTCTCTCCTTTTCCTTCTGTCGGCCACAAACACCTTGCTTTCTCGCAACATCGATTCCAATATGATGCAGCGTGGGCAGATGGCAAAAGCTTTTGTATGCATCGGTTCCCGCCCAACGATTAAACTTTATATGAGAAGGGTGGTATGTCATATCCTCAATAGTGAGTCATTTACTTGCGTATGTTTTTTTCTCTCGGGTGGTCCCTCGGTGCGATGAAGGAGATATTTAGGAGGCTGCTGCCTTTTGTGCTTTTTCCTGCGCGCGGGCGTTTCGTGCGGCGCGGACGAGAGGGGATAATTGCATTAGATCTGCGCATGAGTCCATGAATTGGTGCTGGTCATTCGGTTAGCTTTGAATATCTGAGGCGTCGGGAAAGGGTTACTTACGCGGAGCAGATCATGAGCACTGGCTCGCTTCTCTGGGTCGACCTTGAGCGCAAAGTACAGGAAGTCCTTGAAAACTGGGCTCAGAGCATGCTCATCCTTGATTGTGGGTGTCCCGTTCGTGGCAATCAGGTAGAGAGCTCGCAATGGCGATTCGGTGAGATAAGGTGGCTCCCCCTCGATCATCTCGATGGCCATGATTCCAAGGGACCAGATATCGACTTTGCGGCCGTACTCCTTGCGTGTTACGACCTCAGGGGCCATCCAGTAGGGCGTGCCGACCATGGTGGTCCTCTTATTGTGAGCTTCGTTGATTTGAGCACAGAAACCGAAATCAGCTGCAGTAATGTCAGATAATATCCCTGTTGGTAAATGACAGGACGTGACTTACTGAGCTTGATGTTTCCATCCATCGAAAGCAAGATATTGTCCGACTTGATATCCCGGTGGATGACGCCTTTCGAGTGAAGATGCTGCAAGCCCTTCAGAGTTTCTCTACAGATAGATGCGATTTGACCTTCGGTCATGATGTTGAAAGTCACAACATCCGTCAAGCTGCCACCCTCCATGTACTCCATAATCACCCACAATTCACCGGTGACCAGAAAGCTATCAATGAAGTTGACAATGTTCGGGTGTGAGCTCTCCTTCATCACGATGATCTCGTTGATAATCAGATCTTTCTTTGGCTGTTGCTCCAAGTTCATCTGCTTAATAGCGACCAGGCGATTCGTTCCTCGCTCATAGCCAGTGAACACACCCCCTGAAGCTCCTTGACCAATCTTTGTCAGGTTCTTGTAGACTTCTCTTGGGTCACCTTCGGTACAGATTTGCTTCAGACGGGCAACAACGTCAAACCCGGCGCTCTGTCGAGGACGTTGCCGAGGCCGAGGGCCTGGGGCAGCTCTGGCTTGTTGATTTGGATGTGGTACTCCATTGACGTTTGGTGGCTGTTGGAAATGGCTTTGAGAAGTTGGTGGAGTTGGTAGTTGCTGCTGCTGTTGGCGTTTGCTTGGGGCACGGGCCAAGGAGAACTGTTGTGCTTGGTGCACAGCACTTTCTTGCTGCTGCATCAGTTGCTGTGGGTAAACTGTTTGAGGGGAAGCGACCTGAGTGGATGCAGCGTGTGGAGATGCGCCATTGGCTTTGGAGTTGGATCTGGAGCGATGCTCTTCGGGAAGCATTGGAGAAGATTCAGGAGGAGGGACGTAGGTCAAAGCTGGTAAATCTTCGCTTTTTCGAGACATCCCAATGCCTGAATCCTTTCCAAGTTGAGGAGGAGCAGGAGCTGCTCTCGCCGGGAACGCAACAGGTGGCCTAGGCGCCGGACGAGAGGGGACTATGGTATTGAAATCTTTGGGCGAAAGCGTTTGACCTGGTCGTGGCACGGGCGGGGGTGATCTTGGGTTTTCGAAGCTTGTCTCGTGGTTAGAAGGGAATCGTGGACTCGCAGGTGGACTTGTCAATTGCCCAAAGTTTGGTATAATCGCTGGAGATAGGGGTCCTGGTGTCGAGGTGCCGACTCGAAGCTCAGGCACCTTTGCGTTTTCAAATTTGTCCCATACTTCATCTCCTCCCTTGTCGGCGTTTTCCTTGTAGAAGCCAACGACGTCGATTATGGTCTGGGGGTTCTGCTCTTGCTCCTTCTTCGTAATCCCACTGTCGTTGATCATTCGCTGCCATTCCTTCGGCAAGCCCTGAGTCAATCAGCAAACCGCCTCTTTTGCGTCCTTCGGCCATGACTTACTGTGAATTGTCCCGTCTGATTATCGTATCCTACGTGTGTGACGTGTACTGGATTTTCCGGCGCGGATATCTTCACACCTCGAGGGGACCCTACTCCAATGCTGCTCATGAAGCCCGAAAAACCCGACTTCTTCCTCAACATGCCTGCCTTGGGCTCTCTGCTCTCGTCCGAGTATCGCTTAGGGCTGATGAGTTGGTTCTCGCTGACGCGTGGGGGTGTTTTCTCGCTCATCTTGTCTCCTGCTGTAAAGCTTGCAGATTGTCTTAAAGTTGGGCTCAACATTCGGGACTCTGATAGTGGGGGCGGACGGCGCAGAGAGTTTTGATAGCTCGAGGCTTTGGTCGAATCGATTTGAGTGGTAGAGGTGCCGGAACCGTCGAATGGAGCCCTAGGAAATTCCGAAGATGATTTCTCGCTCAACACAGGCGATGTTGATTTGCCCTGGCCTCCACCCTGACCAGACGGCGCGCCAAACTCGTAGTTTCCCAGCAGCGGAGAGCGTGCCGATTTAGATAGGGAGCGCTCGAGGGAGGAGTTCGAAGAGCCGGAGGCGGTCGTGGAGGCGTAGGCGGCGGGATTAGGAGAGGTATTTTTGCGGCCGTGGCCGTACGAAGATTTTCTCGATGAATCCCTGCGGGTTTGCAAAGATGGGGATCGACGGAGACTGCTAGAGCTGCTGCTACGGATGGACTGCGTGTCGAAGGTAGGGAGGTTCAGGTTCAGGTTCGCGGCAGCCAAACTTCCAGGCGGGGGTTTTTTAGTCAGGCGTCGAGTCGTTGACTTTATCTCCTCCATGATGTGACCTGAGACGGGCAGTCCTGTGGCTGCTGAGTTGCTGTGCTGCTGTGCTGGGGTCACTCAGATCTTCTTCCGTTTGAGAGATGTGGACGGTGTTGGGGGGGGAGGTGGGTTGGGTGTTGGGGAGGGGGGTTTGTTTGGATTGCTCGCCCAATGGGCGGGATAGGGATGGGGGGGCCTGCCGGCGGCTGCAGAAGAAGGAACGTTTTGGTTGCTCGGGCGTTGGGTTGGTTATGAATCACTAAACCACGAGGAAGTGCAGGCAGGCTTGGAGGGCGCCGGGTCGGATGCAAAGGCGTTGGTTGCAATGAATGAATGAAGTTATGTGGAAGTTGAAGATGGGGGTGGGGATGGGGAATGTACCTTACCTATAGCCCGGTTGCGTGGGATGGACGACGGATGGATGGATGGATGGAGGGATGGAGGGATGGATGGATAGCGGATATCCTGATATCTTCTTGAATTGGGATAAGTCCGTAACTGGCCGACTGGAATTAAGCTGAGCTGAATTGGATAATGAAGTATGAAAGCTGACGGCAATTGGGAGGAGAGTATAGGTAAGAAAAGGCTCTTGTTTGGCAGTACATACCGGTATCCGTTGTCATGGGCAGAGCGAGCGAGCGAGCGGGCAATGGAAGTCTACGGAGACATCTACCTTTTCCGTATACCTCGTACCTACCCACCTACCTAGGTACGGGTAAGTAGGAACCCACCTACGCAAGTCTACCTACCGGTAGTCTTGCGGATGAAAAAGCTTGCAGCTAATAATAACACAGTCCTACTTGTAAGTACCGTAGCTAAGTCCGTAAGGCAACCCAGAGTCAACAGTACCGGTAGACGATGGTCCCTTTGCCTTTTGCCTTTGCTTTTCTTTGCCTTTGCCTTTGCCTTTGCCTTTGCCCTTCTCCCTCTCCTCCTCCCCCACGATCATGATCGTCGTCCATGCTTTTCTCTCCACTTTTTGATAATCCTCCCTCCCCTTTCCCGTCTTCGTTCCCGTTGATCCCGCTCGGGAATGGGGCATGCTGACCTGGCCTGGCCTGGCCTGGCCTTCGAACCGGGACTAGAAAGAAAGGGTTGAAAAAGACCCAGAAGCACTGTCGTGTATCTGAAATCAATGGCCGTCTCAGTATCTGCACAAAGGCGATGCAAGGGTTTATTATGCAGCTACAACTCCATTCATCTTCTCTCTCCAATAGGGCCAGTGATGGCCGTGACGGCTGGCCAGGCTTTGCTGCACGGGGGGGAAATCCGTGCTGCCGGTCTCCACCTCCACCTCCAGCGATTGCATCTTACCCTGGATCGGCTCTTAATCTAACTTACAGAGTAGTAGCTACTACGTACAAGTACTTGTTCTACGGTACAAGTCGTCTCTGACCTTGGCCTATGAATGCAAATAATAAATAACCCTTGATACCTTCCTGGGCACGTGCTCTCTCTATCCTTTCATCAGAAAATAAGAAAAAGAAAATATACCTTCTCGTCGGATACTTACCCATGGGACTTGGCCAGAATGGTCACAGCATTGAGGCAGCTAGCAAGGCAAAGTGCTCTTACATACAGTCAGTACAGTACCTACATCGATGTCACCACCCCTCGACGTGGCCTCGGATGGCCATGGGTCACGCCGTGACACCAATCGTCCCGTTCAATCTCGAGCCCCCGATACACTCGGGACCGCAATACATCAGACGAAGAGCTACAGTTGACACGTTGCCTTGAAAACGCGGAGCAGCCTGGACTCCCCTACAAACCCTAGTTTCCATAAACAAAGATCTGTCTCCCTGATGTTCCGAGGTAGCTGGAACATTCTTTTGGGATGATCTGCTTCAGGACTCGAACTTGGGAGACATGGAGATACGGTATAATAGACAGCGCCAACTCTCGCTGACAACACTCCGTCTCCCAATTCTCACCACACCAGGATGGCTGCCCATATCTCTCCCTCGGGATATCTGTCAAACCTAAAGCGAGCGACCTCTGCTTCCGACGCGAGACAACGAATAAAAGTGTTGTTGTCATCGACTCGGTCCAGCCTCGTCTCACGTTACCAGCACGCAAGTCGGATCGTGACCATAGATTGATGACGAGTAAATGTCCGGAGGGCATTCAACTTCTCGTTGCTCCCACCCGTTGATCACAGTCACCATCGGGTCGATCCCCAAGCTCTGCATGTGTGGGGAGTTGGCGCTCGAGATTGGATGGAAAGTCGAAACGGCAATGCAGGACTGTTGATAACGGCTTGTGTAAACTGCCTCGAGCCACTTGGCTCATGGACGAGGATCGGTTTTTTGGAGGTGAAGTACTGGAGTAGACTCGAGTACCGGTATCTCAGTCGATCTTAGCACCAAAAGAAGGGAGAATGTGAATATCAAGGGAAAATGGGAAAATCTGGTCTCCGACTCAGGAAATACACGGTTGAATATTGAGACTTCACCCATGTCGTTAATGTCCCTCCTCACCTGCAAGCCGATACCTCCCTCCCGGCTTCTGCAGCTCCGGCTTTGAAGTCGTTGCAACGGCCTTGCGGCGATACCTCAGATGAAGTGACCACATGCCGGATTCAGGACTACCTAGGGCTTGCCTTGGGCGACTCGCAGTTTTGCATCAATTTGTTCGGCCAATAGTTCGGTCAAAGCCTCACGGCCAGGACGACTTGGATGAACCAAGCAATAGACTTATAGACTTCAAGACCTCTGCTCTGTCCGCCCGTTTAAAGGTAACGGCCAAATCACATGATATCGAATTGAAGCTTGTGGCTGTGGTGGCTCACCCACTTGTAAATAATTGTTATTCAAGAACCTGCCTGGCCCGTTCCTACTGGTCAAATCAAAGGAGTACGGTAGGTAGGTGGTAGGCAGGTGGTAGGTAGGTGGTAGGTAGTGAAAATGTACTCAATAATACACGTGTTTCTATTCAACTTGCAGATATATTGCACAATGTTCTGCTTCAATCGTAGATAAATACGAAGGACTTTAGAAGACATGCTCCACATGCCTTGAGAAGTACCTACGGAGTAGTTGTACGGAGAAGGTACCTATCCCGTGCTCGTGGGCCCACACAAGATTCGCTTACCCGCTACAACCTTCTGGGGTTTTCTGCCCCAAAGCACATCTTCTGTTCCGATTTATCCTACAAATTCTCCCATCGGTCTCCTGTATGAGCCCTGCATCTCCTGCGCCCGAGAATTAACTGCCAGTCTTACCTCTAGCTCTGTTTTGCAATTGATGCAAATATCTAGAAGATCGGAGCAGTAGTCCGACTTGGGATTCGTGGCCTCATCATCGTCACTTGTGTCATTCCCGTAATTCACCCACCATCCTTGATCTGCTAGGTAAGCCGGGTCTCCTCCTTATCCAAGTTGAGGCTGAACCCTCGGAATCTTTCTGTCTGTCTAACCTCACAGTTGCAGTCACCTAACTTTCAGGTGTATACGACAGATTGCCCTTTCTATAAACTCCTCTCGACTTCTGCAATTAGCATTAACATCGCAATATGTCTTCCTTGAACGGCGTAAACGGTCATGGCGATGGGATGTCTGCGGCACAGCGACTTCAGCAACAGCACGCCCACAACCCGCTAGTCGAGGAGCTTCCAGATGAATCCGACTTGAAGCACCCCCCGGCGCCCTTGGACCCAACCCACGTTCTCGAGGACTTGGATGAGGCAGCAGCGGCGAGTGGTTGGCCCGCAAACATATCTGCCAATGCGGCAGGGAAGCGCAAAGCCGAAGGCAAGAAGGCAGCAGTGATAGACCCAAATTCGGAGACGAGTTTCCCTGGCTTGGGAGGGGCAAAGACTGGACCGGTGACAGCTCCAACCTGGGGAGGGAACAAGTCTGCTGCCAATGGCGCAACGAACGGCATCTCCGCCAATGGATCTTCAGCTCCAAATCCAGGCGTGAACACCACACAAGCAGCTAGAGGCGTAGCATCACCCGCTGTTCAAATACAAGCTCCTCGGCTTATCCTCCAAAAGAATGAAGTGCTTCCTCGAAACCAGCTCAAGAAGCCAATGCCTGAGATCTTGAAGGACATTAACAAGAAGTTGAGAACCAACTTGACAATGCGGACGGGAGAGAACGGAGTGCTGGAGTTCAGAGAGTCAAGCAACCAAAGAGAGGCCTTGAAGCAACAGGCAGTCCGAGACCTGGGTATGCAAATTGGCGCAAAGGTCAGTTTAAACATCTACCACTAACTCGGCTTTGCTGATTGCCTGCTAGTCCTCTTCGAAAGTTTCAATTCCACGTTCCGCCAGAGCGCACATCATTGGAAAGCAAGGTTCAACAATCAAAGGGCTGCAGGAGGTCACTGGTGCTCGAATTCAAATGCCAAAGATGGAGGACGCACCACAAGCCGATGAAGACGATGACATGATGGACATTGTTGTGGAAGGCAATCTAATCTCCATCAAGATGGCTACAAGAGAGATCGCGAAGATTGTCAACGAGAGAAGTCCTGCAGTTAACACAAGACTCCGCAACATCCCTGCCGAGTTTTACCCATTTCTCGTCGGACCAGCGAGCTCGCTTGAGGATTCCCATGGTGTCCAGGTTCGAGTTCCCCCGCATCACACCTGGACTGGCCAAGCTCCTCCCGCTCGGGCTGCTCCAGGCCGTGGCGAGTTTTTACCTGCTTTTGGCGACAACCATATCACTCTTGGTGGTGATCGCGCAGCAGTACAGGCAGCACGTGCAGAGATCGAACGCTTATCCCAGGAGTTGAGACAAAGATTAGCGGTTGAGCACGCCACTGGTATCGATCGCGGCCAGCACCAATATGTCATTGGGCGTGGAGGCGTTACGCCCGAAGAGTTTTTTGAGGCTACTCAATGCGCAATCATTCTTCCAGCTGACGATGACGAGGATACCATCACTTTCATTGGCCCGGCGGACAAGCTCAAGGCTGCGAAGGAGCATGCCACTGAACTGGCTTCATCCATTAACGAAACCTCCATGGATATTTCTAAGCAGTTCCGCAATGCCCCTGGCGGAATTGCAGGCGCTCGCGTCCATGCTCGAAATGTTACTCAGTACCTTCGTGACCGCAAGGAGATTGAGCGACTGGAGGCACTCCACAAGGCCAGCATCGTGGCTTCGATCTCGCGGGGCGAGGCTGCACCATGGCAAATATTCTTCCGTGAGCGCGCCAGCGGCATCCAAGCCAAGGACGACATCAGTCAAATCCTCCTGGCCCACCCACCTTCAAGAATGACCACTGTCCCCATCGATCCGTTCTTCCACCGTCACATTCAAAGAGACATTACTCCCCGAGTAAAGAAAGATTATGGTGTACATGTAGTCATCCCAAGTGCTTCTGAGCAAGGTGCGCCAGTGCTTCTTGTTTTTGAGGGCGATGCTGGCCTTGAGCCAGAATATCAGGTTCCCCGAGAAGCACCCAATGCGGAAGAAGTCAAGGCTTTCAAGCAAGGCCTTGAGGACGCCCGCAAGCACATTTTGGACCTCATCAGCAAGCAAGCAGCAATCATCTCCACGTCGATTGACGTACCCAAGATGTAGGTTCATACTAGCTGTTTCACCTTGATAATGAGCTAACATGATTAGCTTTCACGACAAGCTCCGAAGATTCATTCAAAAGGAGCAACAAGATCGTGCAGCAGATCAGATCCCTGTGCGCGTCACTAATGCAGGTACCGTCGTGACACTCAAGGGCCCAGCTCCGGCGGTTGAGTCGTTGGCTGAGAAGGTCAATGCGTTTGTGGCCGAAGCTATTGAGGACGAGAAAGAACGTGGGTTTTCTACCACTTTTGACTTCCCTCAAAAGCATGCGAATCAATTGATCGGGAAGGGTGGTAGCAATATCCGGGACCTACGCGACAAGTTTGATGTTGAGATCAACGTCAACGATGGTGTTGTTGAGCTCAAGGGCCCTCAAGCAAAGGCTGCTGCGGCTAAGGCACATATTTCGGCTCTTGGTCGACAATGGGCCGATGAGGCAACTTACACTCTCAAAGTCGACCCCAAGTTCCACCGTGAGCTAATCGGTGCTGGTGGTACCCAGATCAATAAGTTACAGACAAGATACAAGGTTCAGATCCATTTCCCACGCTCTGCGAAGCCTATCAAGGACGACCAATCCAACGTTGATGCTGCTAGCGATTCAGGCCGTCGTGCTCCACGACGTGAGCAAGAGCCTGATGAGGTCATCGTCAAGGGCCCCAAGAAAGGAGCGGACGAGGCTAGAGACGAGATTCTTTCGCTTCTACAGTACCTCAAGGATAACTCGCATACCGCCGTTGTGTCCGTCCAAGCTGGTCAGATTCCATCTTTGATCGGCCAACGTGGAAGTGGCATGGATGAGATCCGACAGGTATCCGGTGCCAGAATTGAGATTCCAAATGCCAGAGACATCAAGGATCCATCAACCCGAGTCGAGATTCAGATCAAGGGCACAGCTTCTCAAGTTGCGCAGGCACGAAGGTTAATCGACGCTAAGAGAGATGTCTTCGATAAGACTGTCACCAAAACATTGGAGGTAGACAAGAAGTACCACAGATCTCTCATTGGCGCTGGAGGTTCAGCCCTTCGCGATATTGTTGTTAATGCTGGAGGATCCGATGACCGTCGAGAGCTTGCGAGAACTGTCCAGTTCCCTAAGGCCGAGCAAGACGGGAACTTGATCAAGGTTGAAGGAAATGCAGATGTCGTCAACAAGATCATAGCAGCCATGCAAAAAATTGTCGCTGAGCTCGAGGCTCAAACTACCGAGTCTTTCGAAGTCCCCACTGAGAAGCACCGCTCACTCATTGGCCGCGGAGGAGAGACAAAGAGGGAACTTGAGTCGAAGTTCAAGATTTCCATCGACATCCCAAGACAAGGTAGTGGTCAATCTGCTATCAAAGTCACTGGTTTGCCAAAGGATGTCGAGGCCGCCATATCCCATATCCAAACCCTTGTGAAGGACCAAGAGGGCGAGACTGTACAAGTTCCCTGCAAACTCCACCACTCGATTGCCGATAATGGGCAATTTTTCCGACGCCTTCGCAACGATCACCAGGTCACAGTTGATCATGCCGGCCACAAGGTCCCTCCTAAGCCTGCCGCGCCAACCAACGTCCGTGGCAGCGCCGCCAACCTACCTCTACAGACCGACGAGCCTTCTGACCTCGATGCCCACGTCTGGACAGTGATCGATAACTCAGTGTCGACCATTGATGGTGAGATTCCTTGGATCTTGAGAGGTCCTCCCGAAAATGTGACCAAGGCCAGGGCCACTCTCGCCGCTGCCATTGAATCTGCACTAAAGAACACCACAACTGGATTGCTCGTCCTGCCAGATCCAAGCACATATAGGTTCGTCATTGGTCAGGGTGGAAACAAGGTCAACCAAATCCGCAAGGCCTCCGGATGCAAAATCAGCGTTCCCCGCGACCAAGCTGGTGGTGAAGCCATCGAGATCCTAGGGAGCTCTGATGGCGTCGAGAAGGCCAAGATGCTCGTTCTTCAGGCTGTGCAGGACGGCATCAACGGCAACACCGGTGGTGGTCGCGCGAACGGCAATGGCGCTTCCCATAACGGTGGCAATTGGGACTAGACGATCTCGGCGTGGGTAACTTTTAGCGATGTGATTGGCGATACATGGAGGAAGTGGACGCTGTATGAATGCGTGCATTGTGTCGGAAAAGGAAAAGCTCATCGCGTCTATGTCTTTGCTTTCCGTCGCGGCCGAGGCAGAGCGAGGTGCGGATTTCTTCTTTCTTTCTGATCATAATCTCAAGCAAGTTCATATGCATTTGCGTTGGTTTCATTAAAAAAGAACGGAAGGGCTGCGAGGGCAGCAGGAAGTGGGACGTGGAGATATGGTCGGTGCAGTCAGGCTTCTTCTGTACTGGGACCTGATTGTGGGTGGAAGGGGGAAAAAAGGCATAGTAGAGTGGGCTCATTTTCGCAAGTCGAGGGGAGAAAAACTGTCGAATCCCAGCTTTTGGGTATGATCACGTCCTATTGCTTCTTCTTGCCTAGCTGGTATAATTTTCTTTCGCTTTCTTTTAAGCGTATAATTGCTAGTGTTTGCCTTTTACTTTTGATCCGTCTTTTTCATCTTTCACTGGCGCTTGGAATGAGAGGCAAGAGCATATGTTGCACACGTACCTAGTGATTGTCCGTCAGGCAGTAGGTAGTTGGGAGAGAGCCGGCCATGAGATATTACGTGCGTGCGTGCGTGCGTGCGTGCGTGTGTGCGTGGTCGAGGAGAAGAAGGAAGGAAGGACTGAAGTCGTATGAGCCTCTCTGCTTCCCGCCGTCGTCAATTCATTCGTTCATCCCAGTCCAACCTCCTCATTACCACACACATCTCCACCTCGCCTTCGCTTTTCTTTTCTTTTCTTTTTTCTTTGGCTGGGTTAGGTTGGGTTGCTGTGTGTGTAAGGTTGGCTGGTTAGTTACAAGGAGATTTGAGATTTGAGGTGTGAGCTGTGAGGTGTGAGAGTGTGAGTTACAATAGAAAGATTGCGAGATGGCGTTGTTGGTGAGCTTACCGTCACATCTTGAGGTGTGAGGTATGAGGTATGAGACTTGGGGGCTTTGGGATTTTTCAGATTGGGATTGTTGTCGTGGTTAAATTAATCAATCGCATAACAGATACGAAGTATCTTGGATGTTGCATATTTAATACTCTCGTGGTGTTGTTTGGAGAATGAAAAATGAAATTCAAGTACCTATTCGCCTTGTATACAATTTTCATCTGGCCTTTTATATCATTGTGACTGGTTATAGAGGTACAACAGTTAGGTAAGAGGAGGGGGGTGTTTGGCTGCTTGCTCTAGCTCCCCAACACATGCAGGTTTCTTTGAACGGTGTTTCTATTTGTTATCTACCTACGGGCCTATACTTCTTTTAAGCACGGGTCTGTTTGTTCGTGATGTGGAGTTCGGCTGCTGAATACGAAGGACTGATATTGGTTGTTGAGCGATGTGACTTAAGATGATATGATGATAATGTTTGAAAGTGTATCCGAGCTGATAGATCAGGATCTGAATATAGCTCTTTCTTAAATCAGTAAAAGTGGCAATGGGGTTGGTTGAGTTATAAAATTATGAGGTGCGTGCGTGATTTTTAATACATGGCTTTTGACGCCGCTACCTCTTGGGCGGGAAGGACATAGGTTCAGACAATTTTCACGTAGGAATTCGATGTAGGAATTTGGGCCTTCGGTGACATGAATCGGAGACTGGGTCTCTGAATTCGGAAACTCTTTAGCACAATGGCGTTGCTTTCCCATCCTGGGCTTGGCCGTTGTCCGATCTAGCCTACCTACTCCTCGGGATTTTCTTGTGTGGAATGTCTCAAGACGAGAGTCGAGACGGGCTGGTAAATGGAGGTTTCGGTCCAAGGGCTGTGAAGAAGCAAGAAGGGGGATCTATCGATCGACCCGAGACGGTTTGTGGTAGCGTAGCCGGTAACTTCCAGCTTGCGTATCTCGATTCCAGGGTGTCATACCGGGTATTGGTATTGACAACGACTTCACAGCTACCGGTACTAATACCGCGCACTAGCCGAGTATTAGTCAGCCGACCACTCCTCACGCGTTCTCGGCTACCCCAAAGTCCGTCGCGTTATTATTATAAGCTTCCGCCCTGCCACTTCGTTTCCCTCTTCCCTTCCCCATCATAACAAAGCTCCCCCATATCAACCTCCACTTTCCACTATCGAGCAATCAGCTCCTTCTGCACAACTCTTCCCATTCTACTCGCGACATCGTTCCTGCGAATCCAATTCCTTGCGCTTCAGTATTTCCCAGGCTGTACCTGGAGGCGCAATCATCAATCTACCCCCCCCCCCCCAAAACCTCCTCGACAGCTCCTTCCACAACTACCTACACAATGCCTCCTCGTAAGTGTCAATTTCCCACACTTTGCGCGCCGCAATTCACTCGTTGTATGCAGCTCGGCGACGTCAATATGATGACCGCAATAGCTGCGCTCTTTGGCATTGGCTTACCATGCGCAGAAATCTCCGACGATGAGGCCTCGGAGGTGAGTAGTAACGATTACGCTCCGGCCGCACCGATCAGGGTGAAGCCAGAGAAGAATTCCAAGTCCAAGTCAAAGACTCCTGTCGATGACCCCGAGCCTGAGCCAGTGGCTGCCGTCGAGTCTGATGGCGGAGACGATGATGAGGAGGAGCTCGCGGAAGATGAGTACGTGTTCGCGCATTCTTGTAATCTACATTGCTGACAATCTTGCAGGTACACTGTGGAGGCCATCACCAACCATTTCGTCGACGAAGATGTAAGCAGCACCTCGGTATCTTTCGCGCCAAAGCATACTGATTAGGGCACAGACTGGGGTGTTGCGATTTGAGGTGAAGTGGCTGGGATTCGAGAAGAAATCTGATAGAACCTGGGAGCCGGAAGAGAACCTGTTGTGACCATTCCCTTGTATGCCGGGTATTTGTCGACTGACTGCATAAACAGTGAAACCGCATCCGAAATCCTCGATAAGTATCTGAGCTCAGTTGGTGGCAAGGAAGCCATTCTGGCCGCCTGGGAGGAGAGAAAGGCCGAGGCAGGTACGGGAAAGAAGGGCAAGAAGCGCGGAAGAACCAGCGCAGGGGAGAAGACAAATGGGACGAAGAAAGGCCGTAAGTCTAAGGAACACCCGGCATCCGGAACTCCTCCGTTGAGCGCTACCTCGGCCGAGTTCAAGCCACCAGGAGGAACTTGGGAGGATGCTGTCATTGCCATTGATGCGTGCGAGGGCAATGACAGCAACGTCGTTGTCTACCTCACCTGGAAGGGCGGACACAAGACTCAACACCCGCTGGCCCAAGTGTACAAGCGATGCCCACAGAAGGTAAGAACGCCCTCCAGTCGTGACCGGTCGAGCGCTAACCAAAAATAGATGCTTGCCTTCTACGAGAGCCACTTGTTCGTTCCCCTGATCTTACATATCACCAAACACCTGCTAACTTGCTTCTAGGGTCTTCAAGAAGAACGACGATCTGTCATAAATGGGGGGGATAAAAAATTTGGGCGTTCGACACATCAGCATCAAGGTTTATTTTCTGGTCTTCAAGTTTGGGCGGTTTCGGTGCGCTGCTTACGGATTGCCTTTTCTCTCTCGGTACACAAGATTTTTCTCGTGCCATATGCTTGCGCCGCTCAGTACTCGGTGTCCCTTCTCCATACCTCTCGAAAAAAGATTCTACCCACGGCGCAGGGGTGACCTCTGGATACGCTGTGCTGCCGCGTAGATTTAATTCAACTGTACTTTATGAAGCGAAACGGAAAGAAAAGGATTGCTGCGAATGGTGCCCAGCTGCTACATTGTAATGTGCTTTGAGTCCATGGGTCTGTATTCCCATCTATTAGGAAGAGAACCTTTTGACTGTCACAAGAATGGGTGACGCTGGACAACACAGATCTTACACATTCGTACGGCAACTAACCCATGCAGCGAAACCCAGTGTAATGCGATTTTGAACCAGTTCACATTTATCCGCACCCGAGGTCATTAAAAGTCGTTCCAACTCAAGCCTACTCACTACTGGCTGCTGGCTGTCGATTCCTCAGTATCGCCCCCTAGCCCACGTAGTGAGAACCCAACATCGCTGTATTGCTTGCAGCAGGGGATATCTACCATCCGTCTTTTTCCACGGCTGTTGTTGCCAGCAGCAGTCTCGGCTGCGAAACGATACCAAGCCAAAGTTGAAAAAGGGGGATCGCTGGTAAACCGCCAGAAAAGGAGATCAATCACAATACAGATCTGGAAGAGAAAGCTGCTCACAAACAAAAAAAAAAAAAAACAAAAAAACCTATAGATCGGTACAACCGACTTTTGGGGTACGTGAAACCCAGCCAGGCACTAGGAATATATACAGGAGGAGAGGGCTAGCCCATTCTTTCCCCTCGTCTTTTCCCGTCAAAGCACCGCCCACCAGCTCTGCTGTTGGTTTTCCGCCTCGCCTCCTTTCTTCCGACGACGACGACGACTCCGTCTGTCTGTCTGTTCGGCTCTGTCACGTCACCTCTATAATCCAGAGCTCTCAACTGGCATGCGCTCGCTCCCTACGAACCTCCCGGCAGCTTGCTTGCTTCGCAGCAGTCGTCGCTCGCTCCGGGGGAAGAAGAAAGTAGTAGTCGGCACACTCGTGAAAGTCAGGATCGGAAATCCCCTCTGAGGTGCTAGAGTCGCAGTCAAGATCATGCTTTCGGCACCGTTGGCTAGCCGCGGAATACCCAGCCCCTCCTTTCGCCTCAATCTGGTAGAGGAGCAGCGAGGATCGTACCTCCTCTTGCTTGGTCTTCTGCGCTTGGGCTTTACGATGGCGAGATGCAGAGGCTCCGGGAAAGACTCACGGAGCAGTGGTCGCCGTCTGCGTGCGGGCGGCGTGCGGCGGGCGGCGTGCGTACTTCCCGCTGCGCTCAGAGCTGGCTCTCTTCGAGCTGTGTGGCCTGGCCCGTGGGTGGGCGTTGCGGCACGGGTAACTCACTGTGCACCACGCTCGTGTCCGTGTCGGTCAACAGGGCGAAGTTGGTGGTGATGCTGTTTGTGTCGGGGTAGGGTTTGGCGGCGGGGCAGATGGGTGATCTTGATGGGGCCGCGCCGGGACGCCGTTGGCCGCGGTGTCATTCCAGTTGTTGAAGGAGAGGCCTGAAAACTCGACTCCGGAGCCGGCGGCGGCGGCGGCGGCGGGTTGGGAGGCCCCAGTAGGGGTCGAGGTTTGAGGGAGTAGGTGTTGGCGTTGGACTGGGCCGATGAAGTTATGGAACTTGCGGCTCTCGACGGTGCTGGAGCTGCCGTTGGACTTGATCATGGACATCTCTGGGGGGGTGTTGGCGCGGTGTCTATCTGGTGTTTTAATGGCTGTTTACTTTGAGGTGTTGTACCGACTGGCGGTTGGATTGCCAAGTATATGTAGACGTTGCGGTTTTCGATGTTCGGGATTGCTAGTGGGATGTCAGTCAGTCAATTGTTTTTGCAGGGAACGAGACGAGACGTGCCGGGACCGACACCAAGAGAGGAGAGCCAATAGCGGAGCCTCGCCTCCTGTTTGCAGTAGATGGATGTTCTCGATGAGCATGTTGGTGGCAGGACTCTGTTGGTCTCGAGTCGGGAAGGCTTTCCACAGACTATGGGGCTTGATACAAAATTGTCTTGACACAAGAGGGACATACCGTCGACAAGGACAGTATCGTGGACATAGAAGGACGCAGCTTTGTAGAATCGCAGGATTCGCGCACCGTACGCCCCCTCTATCCCAAGTACCGGTCAGCTAGAAGAAAGACTGAGTGGCTAGCCACTCTTGTGGAACTCATATCCATATCCCTGGATAGCTAGCTCCCTTGGACGTGCTGGAGCAGACTTATATCTCAGCACACACAAAGGCAGAGGAATGAAATCCCATACCCAGTCCGGTATATAATCCTCTCAAGCTGCAGCGCCCAAGGCCGTACCCCCACCCAGCGTAGCCCAAGAGAACGCAATGGTTCATTACTTTGGCCCTATTAGGCGTATCTGGATCTGCCGGATGACTTGTAGATATACCCATATATGATCTGAATTTCCTCGGATCGAAAATCATAGACGTGGAGAAGAAGAAAAGCCGAAATGAGCTGAGTATAAGGTACCGATGGTGGTGGGCTGTAGTGGGGGGTCGGTTGAACAGGATGGACCCGCCAAGGCTCGTGGTGAGATTCCTGAATTCGATTTGGATAGAGCAGAAAGATTGGAGAGATTTCGGGGAAGCTTGTAGACTGCAGAGGGAGGAAATGAATGGCATCGTATAGTTATCTCGTTGGCCGGCTTTTGGAAACCGTCTTGCCCTCTGCGAAACTGACAACAAGGAAGGCAAGCTAGGCCAGCTCCCGACACTTCTGCCGCCTCTCAATAGGTATATGTACGTATTCCAGCGCCGCTATCTGTGATCTGATCTGGCAGCACGGTACAGCATAGTGTAGCAGGTAGGCAAGCAAGCAAGAAACTAGATCTTGTCATTCGCTATCGGGTAACCTGATGAGGAAAGGGAAGATGACTGCAAGTGAAGCCAACAACGGAAACACAGCTGCCGGAAAGACCATGGAAAGAGAGCATAACGATACCAGCAGGTGCAAAAAGAAAAAGGCGAAACTGAGAGAGACCAGAACACGAAGACTTGTACAACAGATATAATGACGAAGACACTTGCTTCAGCGAAGCACTTATTGACAGCCCTCGAGGCCTGGTAAGCTCGCAGACACCACAGCTATAAAACACGGCCCGCTTCCACTCCACAACGTTCAACTTCCTGTACTTACTTGAAAGCAATACTTCCAGCCACCGACTTCTTGACTATCGAATTGTAGTCGCAAGAGTTACATAAGACACCCACATATAAGGCCCCCGACAAGGACGGTGTTACGTAGTATTGCAAAGGTTCAGACCCGTACTGCCAAGCAAATGTGGTGACATACTTGAAATGCCTCTAAATGACTGCGCTCTTGTGCTGTTCATGGGATTTAGTAGCGCGGGTGGTACACTCTTTTCTGATACATGGGAGGCCGGAGGTGGAGATGAGGCTCGGTTGCTGGGCTGGCATAGCGACTGGTCTTACGATGGTATGGTGTGACTTGACGGGCGAGAAAAGGATCGTGGGTGACGGGACGTGAGGATGTTGGAGATGTCAAGCGAGAGGTATTGTTTACAATTTACTTCGGGTTGGAGAATGACAAAGGCTCCAAGTCGGCTATTCCAATTACTTGCCACTTCCAAATCACCAAGTTCGACGGTTGAATTCAAGAGTGGACTGGATGGCACTGCATGCCAAGATACAAGTCGGCTTCTGCCCTCAATTACCTTGTATCTCCATCTGCAGACTTCACCATCGCGGAGCTCATTCCAGCTTGCCTACCTAGTCTCGCTGTCAACTTCTACACATCACTTTTCCTCGGTCACGACTTGCAGGAAAGATTATCCTGCAGGTGAGGGCCATACCGCAGCCACGGCTGGCAGATCTTCTCAGTGGGGAGTGGAGGGCTCGTCGTTTCATCTCTCCTGTCGTACAACCCTGTGCACTTTCCACCTCCGACGGCGATGCATTTCTGTATCACAAGTACTGTAGCCGACGAAATGTGGCCATGTGTGAGTTCCTGTCTCGTGCAGCACACATGGATCCATTCATTCATTCATTGGTTCAGACAGACCCCCGTCCTGCATGGCATCGCATGGCCATTTGAACGGAGGAGCTGCCCGAAAATCCGGGTTGAGAGAATTTTGGGTCTTTTAAGCAAGACAGCTTACGCCTCCGACTTGAAAGCTGACCGACCTCGGGGCAGTTGGGCATGGCTTCGCTGAGAGAGTGAGAACCCCGGCGCGATCCAATGCCACATAAACGCAAGGGGAGCCTTTTGCGAAGGCCTTCCTCCCGAGTTCTTCCCATCGAAACTCTGGCATTTGGACCACTCGAGGCCGAAGGTGCTGGCCATCGTCGAGTATCGGTAGCGCCCATCATGGCATATAAATACGACAATGACGCTAACAGCAACTACATGGTGGAATACGCTGAGACTCACAGTGTGGATATGGTACGCAGCACGCGGGAGCCGTCAGCTACCCTACCAGCCTATGCTACTTACTGATGTAGTTGTAGAAACACGCAGAGGTCGAGGTCAAGATCATCAGGGGAAATGAAGCATTCAATGAGGCCATGATGAAGGAGCCTCCGAGGCCATTCACTTGGGCAACAATACAGCTCTACGCGGCTTGTTTCATTGGATTCTTTTGCGCCACCATGAACGGGTACGATGGGTCCTTGATAAACAATCTTCTAGCGAATGAGCAGTTCATCGCCTACTATCACGGCTCCAACGATGGAATCTGGGCTGGTATTGTCACGGCAATGTATCAGATAGGGGGTGTTGTGTCCTTACCGTTTATTGGGCCCTCATCAGATACGTACGGTCGAAGGTTTGGAATGTGGATTGGCTGCTTGTTGATTATTGTTGGGACGCTCATCCAAGGGACAGCAGGACCAGATCATGGTGTCAATCAATTCATGGGAGGCCGCTTCGTGTTGGGCTTTGGAGTCAGTGTTGCGAGTGCAGCTGGTCCGATGTATGTGGTTGAGGTGTCGCACCCAGCATATCGGGGAATCGTAACGGCTATCTTCAACTGTTTCTGGTACATATGGGATGCATCGTCCCAGACCACTGCTAACTGCCCCCAGGTTTACCGGATCGATCATCGCAAGTGGAGTGGCACGGGGAGGAACCGACCTGCCAGGAAATGTCGGCTGGAGACTCATCATCTGGTTCCAACTCATGTTCGCGGTTGTCATCTTCGTCGCAGCCTACTTTCTGCCGGAGTCTCCTCGCTGGCTATACGTCAACAACAAGCAAGAGCAGTCTAAGGCTATGCTTACCAAATACCATGGTGATGGAGACCCTGACAGCGAGTGGGTCAAGTTACAACTGAACGAGTACGAAGAGCTGCTGGAGATGGATGGCGCGGACAAGCGGTGGTGGGACTACAGAGCGCTATTCAGGAACCGTTCTACGCGCTATCGTCTCGTTTGCAACGTCTGTGTTTCGATCTTTGGACAATGGGCGGGTAATTGTAAGGCCGCTTGGCTATTGCATCTTCAACTACCTAGCTGACCTGTGCACAGCCGTTCTCTCTTACTTCATGAGCAAAATGCTCGACACTATTGGCCTCACGGGCGCAATCTCGCAAGCCAACATCATCCTCATCAACAATTGTCAACAATTCTGCTGGGCTCTTGTGGGTGCAAACCTGGTCGACCGAGTCGGTCGTCGCCCTCTCCTTCTCTTCTCGAACGCCGGCTGTTGTCTAGTGTGGCTTGCAATGACCATCTCCACCGCCGTCTACCAAAACTCGATTCCTCCAGCTACAGACCTCGACCCGGACCCAACAGGGACAAACGCAATCGCTGGAACAACGTGTCTCGTGTTCATATTTATCTTCGGCGCCGTGTATTCTGTTGGCTTCACGCCACTGCAGGCACTTTACCCGGTCGAGGTTCTGTCATTCGAGATGCGCGCGAAGGGGATGGGATTCTCTGGGTTTGCGATTGCTGCTGGTTTGTTTCCCCCCTCTGATAGCCTCACTCATCTCTGTGAAGGCACTTGGAAGAGCCGATGATGACGATCGATTGTGTAGCGCAAATGGTGAACCAATTCGCCTGGCCCGTCTCCATGAAGAATATCGGATGGCACACATATATCATTTTCACGATATGGTGCGGGATACAGTCGGCCGTCGTCTACTGCTTCATACCTGAAACGAAGAATCGGACAGTAAGATGATCACCCCTCTCCATCTCTTGCCTTTCCTCCTGGATGATTGCTCTCTTGCGCTGGCACTCGAATAACTAACGCCGGGCAGCTCGAAGAACTGGACGAGATTTTCGAGTCGCACAACCCGGTCAAGACATCCATGGCGAGGAAACGCCTTGGCCTCGATGCATACGGCGACGTTGTCAATATTGCGGATATGTAATTTGCTTGCCGATTCTCGTTGCTGAAGTTGTGGCTAGTCGCTCTCTAAGCTGAGGGGAAATGGGAGACGTTTATACCCCTATCTATGGTTTACTCGTTTGGGAGTTCTGGGTCAAGGAAGGCCAATGGCGGGAGGGGAGGAGAAGGGCCCGGTGGGAGGAAGTCGAAGACCACACAAGTCCACATGATTTACATATGTACCTTTTTCGGGCGACGCAGTGAGGCGTTTGGTGTCATGATTTCGAGGTTTTGTTCTTGCTGCAAGCGTTGCATCATCGCAGTATATGGCAAATGACTTTTTCAGAAAAGGGCATGAACCAAATACAGTGATCAAATCAAATGATGACCGAGCCTTGAAGAAGACTCGATTGGACGTCGTGAAAGAAAGAGAATAGCATATGAACCAGGGCGTGTGCAGGTGAATCCGGAAATCCCAGTGCTAAATTCATAGAGAAAGTGAGCATGTCCCAGGTGAATTTTCCAGCGAAGTGCGCTGACTTGCTATGGAGATTTTCAATGCCATCTCTCGAGTGACAATGTCCCAGATCTACTTGGACACTGGTTGCTCTTTTGTGCAATGAAACCTTTGATCGTCCTGAGTGTGGTTTCGAGGTTTAGATGTTTGGGGTGAAGCCCAGAATATTGATCAGGCAGAGGGTCCAAGGAAAACCAAGTCACATGACGATAGCCAACATGCTGCCTTATTTGGTGCCTTACTGATAATTTGTCCGGCAAGGCTTTTGCAAAACGCGACTTTGGCAACAGACGCGTTTTTGAAAGGAGAGGTTGATCACAACGTCCCGTACTGATTATCAACCCTCAAGATACCCGGAGAATTGCTTTAATAATTTCTGCGGTATTCGAAAGACTGCTGTTCCCTCCCAAGATGGCTATGAGTACGTGGAACCTGATGTTGAGCCTGGTGAAAAGCTCCAAACTGACATTGGCTTCGCAGATATCGATATGTCGCAGGGTATGATACCTCCGAAGGTGACCCGTATGCCTGCTAACAAGTTGTAGCTTCGGTCGTAAAAGATGAGCAAGGCAGACCGTTCATTGTCGTCAGAGAGTAAGGACTTCAAAACCAAGCTTGACTACAGCTGCTGACACAACCCAGTCAAGGAAAGAAGAAGAGAGTACACGGCACCGAAGCTGTCAAGTCACATATCATCGCCGCGAGAACAGTAGCAAATATCGTGAAGACCTCACTCGGCCCCCGCGGACTGGACAAGATCTTGATTTCGCCCGATGGAGATATCACAGTTACCAACGATGGTGCCACCATCCTGAGCCAAATGGAGATCCAGAACCACGTAGCGAAGCTGCTAGTTGAGCTCTCGAAGTCCCAAGATGACGAGATTGGAGACGGTACAACCGGTGTGGTGGTGCTGGCAGGCGCGTTGTTAGAGCAGGCTGCAGAACTCATTGACAAAGGAATCCACCCCATTCGGATAGCAGATGGGTACGACCAGGCCTGTGATATTGCTGTTGCGGAGCTAGACCGGATCGCCGACGCCATCGAGTTCACTAAGACACACAAGGAGAACCTGTTCAAGGTTGCGAGAACGAGTCTGGGAAGCAAGATTGTGTCCAAGGCGCACGACCAGTTTGCTACCATTGCTGTAGACGCCATCCTGTCAGTTGCGGATCTGGAGCGCAAGGATGTGGATTTTGATCTGATCAAGGTTGATGGCAAGGTTGGAGGATCGCTGGAGGATTCGCTGTTGGTTCAGGGTGTTATTGTCGACAAGGACTTCTCCCACCCGCAGATGCCTTCTGAGGTTCGCGATGCCAAGATTGCGATCTTGACGTGTGCGTTCGAGCCCCCGAAGCCCAAGACGAAGCACAAGTTGGATATCACGAGTGTGGAGGAGTTCAAGAAGTTGCAGACATACGAGAAGGACAAGTTTGCGGAGATGATTCAGCAGATCAAGGATACTGGTGCCAATTTGGTTATCTGCCAATGGGGCTTTGATGACGAGGCAAATCACTTGCTGTTACAGAATGACTTGCCCGCCGTAAGATGGGTTGGAGGTCCGGAAATCGAATTGATTGCTATTGCCACAAATGGTAGAATAGTGCCAAGGTTCGAAGACCTGGCCGCTGCGAAGCTTGGACAAGCGGGTATTGTACGAGAGATGAGCTTTGGTACGACGAGAGAGAAGATGTTGGTAATTGAGGAGTGTGCAAACACCAGAGCCGTCACCGTCTTCGTCCGAGGAAGCAACAAGATGGTACGTTCAAGTCACATGGCATATGACTGCACTCTAACCATCCCAGATCATCGATGAAGCCAAGCGCTCCCTCCACGATGCCCTCTGCGTAGTACGTAACCTAGTTCGTGACAACCGTGTCGTCTATGGAGGTGGCGCCGCCGAAATCGCCTGCTCCCTTGCCGTCGAAGACGCAGCCGTCAAGTCTCCGGGCCTCGAGCAGTACGCCATGCGCGCCTTCGCCGACGCTCTCGACGCGATCCCCATGGCCCTCGCCGAGAACTCGGGTCTCTCCCCCATTGAGACCCTTGCCAGCATCAAGAGTCGCCAGGTCACGGAGAAGAATAGCAGGTTGGGCGTTGACTGCATGCAGACTGGCAGCAACGATATGCGGGATGCGTTTGTGATTGACCCGCTGATTGGGAAGAGACAGCAGTTGATGCTGGCTACGCAGCTGTGCCGCATGGTGCTGAAGGTCAATAACGTTATTATTGCGGGCAGTGACGAGAATGAGTTCTAGAGAGCATTGTACCATAGACGTCACGTAGACTGAGGGCATAATCTTTGGAATCACACATCCCCTCTCACATGGTAAGACATCACGCGCTGTGTTTTCATGTATTTGATGTGTGTGTTGGTGCTGTTATCTCTCTCGCTGTGACGTTTATCTTCAAATTTATTGTGCTTTGCCTTGCCCTGCTTTCTGCATTGTGGTTCGCTGCTTCGTGGATCATAATTGCTTACTCTTATGGCCCTTGCGAAAGTCGAGAATCTCTCTGGATAGTGATCCAAGTTTCCAGGTTGATATACTGCTCGTGCATGGCCTTCTAAAAATTGACTCTCCCGCTGTCCTTGACTTTTTATTGTGTTACGCCACTGCTGATGCTACAGACACATTTGCTGTAATCTCGCTTTTACATGTACTCTCTCTGAGCCAATAGGGAAATATCAAACTTACGCAAACAGGCTCCCGTTGGGGAAAATTTTGCAATAACTAGTCCCCAGCCCCTTCAATTCTTTTGGGGGGAGGGGGGAAATCAGAATTAGGTTAGGCGTCAATGCCAAGACCCACATCTTCGCTTCGGTTAAGTCCTTGTATAGATCCAAGTGAATAAAGTAAACAAACACAGACATTCACTGCTATTGTTCTTCTCTTCACAATAGGGCCCGCCGCCTATTCAAGCTTGCTATTGTGGAAAATTTTTGCTCGCTAGCGCGTTAGCGCCAGAATGCGCACTACAAAAACTCTGTCGCGCTCCGCGTTCTTCCTTTCCCTTCCTCCCTCCTTCAACCTCAACCACAACCTCAACCTTCTTCCACACTCGCGTCCACAACACTCTTCTTCTCCCTTGCCACATAACTGCTCCCACACATACACCCATACACACAAGCAATTGAACCAATCAACCAATCGAACATTTGTTCAGCTCAACTCCGACAACAAACCAAGTGTAAGTCCTCACAGCTCTGAGTGACTTTCGGTCTCTTACTGACATCTGTAGCTCGAACACCCAACTCAAATCAACTCCGACAACACACCAAGAGTAAGTCCTCACATATCTAATTGACTTTCAGCATTCAATTGACATCTGTAGCTCACACACCCAACTCAAATCAACTCCGACAACACACCAAGAGTAAGTTCTCACATATCTAATTGACTTTCAGCCTTCAACTGACATTCGCAGCTCCAGCACCATGTCTGTCAACCTCTCCGCCGGCGGTGCCTTTCCCGCAGAGCTCAAGATGCGAGCCCGATGTCAGGTGCCTATCCACAAGCACCTCCACTACGAACCTTCCGCGCACATGATCTCAGTCAGCGCCGCCACAAACACGGCTGCCCGAACCTGCGTGATTATGGTGGAGGCCCCAGTCCAACCAGAGCCCGTTGCCTACTTGCACCCTCGTGCACCGGCCACAGTCCAACCGGAGCCAGTTGCCCAATCCTGGGACACTTATGTGCCGTTCTCAGACCAACAAATGAAGCTTGCACCAGCCACCGCCCGACCAGAGCCAGTTGCTCAAACCTGGGATACCTATGTTCCTTTCTCAGACCAATACAAGCCAGCCCCCCAATCCTTGGACGTTCGTGCGCCGGCCACAGTTCAACCGGAGCCAGTTGCCCAGGTTCTTGCGCCGGTCACCGTCCAACCAAAGAGATGGGACTATGATGAAGGTCGACAATGGGCCAATCTCAACCTCCGAATCCCAAGATCCCAGTTGGCGTATGCGAAGTCCATCGAGCCTTTTATTGTGGACAACCGTCTGGCCGACATTCCCTACGAGTTGCTGATCAACAAGCCCGAATCCGATGGAGAGGTTGGAGCTATTTTCGAGTTCTTCCCAATCCTCCCGGGCGAGCTGCGCAACAAGATCTGGGGGTACGCCGTCATCAACCAACTCAAGGGTGATCGCACTATCCGCATCGAGATCCTGTATAATGGCTTCGACGGAAACATTCCTCGCACTCCTCGCATCGTCAACCGATCGGCCCCGATTCCTCTCTTGAATACAAGCCGCGACGCTCGCGCCATCGCCATGCCCTTCTACGAGAAGACTTTCACGACCGATGTGCCCAACCCCAACTACATCCTCTTCAACCACGAGAACGACCGGGTCTTTGTCAACACCCCAGGAAACTTCGACTTCGTTCTCTTCATCCGCTCCCTGCCCCTCGACCAACTCCCCCGCATCCGGCACATGGCCATCACCGTCAAGGAGCTGCAGCGCCACAAGTACCCGTCCCGAAACCCCCGAAACGGTGGTGTCGTCGGCCTCATCTCCGACTACTTCCCCGGCCTGAAGACCCTGACCATGATTGCCGGCGACGCCCGCATCGACGGCCCCTACGTCCGCAAGGTCACCCGCCACTCTGTCCGCGCCGAGTTCAAGCGATATCAACTCGGATGGGACCCTTCTCTCCAGCACGTGCCCGAGGTCAACGGCGACTTGTTGCCGGCCCTCCTGGCTCGGCGTTGGGGAGTCGATGACCTGCCATGGTGAGCTGCGGCCTCCCGTCACTGATTTTCGCATTCGCAAAATCTTTGCTTCGCACGCATGCCACTGGGGGCGTTTTTACGGATGGATATCGTGTCGTTCTGAGCGGATTGGATCGTGGGGGTTCCCTTTTTTTTTTTTTTTATGGATGATGCATGCATGGATGGATGAACACTGATGATGATGATTGACGAACTGCTACAGGGCTGGATGGGACGCCTACTACTACTTGCACTTGCACTTGCTACATTGATAGAATGAACTGAAATGAAATGATTCTTTGCAAATTGGGATCTCGTCGGGTGCTTGTGCGTGCGTGTGTTATTGTTGTTGTGAGGGTGTGCCTCTAGAGGCTTGGGTCCACTGCCTCCTGGCTACTAAGCAGTTACCCAGGGTAGTCAGTCCTCTCCCTCTTCTTCTTCTTCTTCCTCTTCTTCTTCTTCTTCTTCTTCTTCTTCTTCTTCTTCTTCCTCTTCTTCTTCTTCCCCTCTGCAATAGGGTCCACTGTCTTCAACCGTGATAATCTAATATAATTTTTGTTTAGCTACATATAGTGAAACTAAAGAAGATCTACTTAGGCACGTCAAAGTTGTATATTAATCTTAAACTCTTAGCTACTCGGTACATGCCCGAAATAATGTACTACGTACAAACGCTGTCTGAGCGCAATTCTAGAGGTTTCCGTTGCCAGGGCTCTTGTGCAAGGGCTACTACCAATGATATAACGGTAACAATTCAAGCAGCATTGCCAAGTATCTAGTGTGCACAGACTAGTAGAATTGTACTGCTAGTAAGTACTACTAGTACATTATTTAGCCATAGTACGAAGTATATTAATCTTAAACTCTTAGCTAAGAGAGTAGTCGCGGGCCAAGACTATACACCTGAATCAAAGACTTTCCAATTCCGAACAGGGTCATTTCATTGGATAACGTTTCATCCAAGCTTGCCTCAACAGGTTCGGTTCTCTAATCTTCTATAGCACAGTTTGATGAGCAGAGATCGGCAAACATGGGGCTCATACTCCGAGCAATCAATCAATCAGATGATCACCGCATCGTCGTCTACTTCGGACTCCGGAGTAGAAGTACTACAGTACGTAGGTGAAGAGATCCGCGCCCTGCACCAAGGCCGGACGGACGTCGCGGCAGGCCCACTCTACCGCCGATTTCCGACGTTGCATCTTCTACGGTGTAGGGAACAGAGAGGTAAACATTGGCTAGGTGGTGTGTAGACATTGCATTCTATCGATATTCCCACCACCTGGATATATACACCCCGTCCGTACGTATCAAAGCCAGCCGGCCTCCGCCGCCGCCGCCGCCGCTGCCGCCGCCGCCGACCCGCCACCCGACGACAAAAGAGTATTATTTATCCGTAACCGAGTCAAGCTCTCCCCACTCGCCGACCCAGACCGAAAGAGCCTCTGCAGAAAAGAGAAATCGTTAGCCAGCTAGCTAGCGACCCTGGAGGCGTACCTCGAGCGAGACTTCAACGACAATACTAGGCAGCACGATACATACCTCACGCGAGCGATCGAGCCGCCGCTGGATTTGATCAGCAGGTCCACGAGAGGGTGCAAGAACCGCCTCCCTGGGAGCACTGCAGGGGGTAGGAGTGTGTGTAGGTCCCGGCTCTGCCATGACAAACTGAATTCACCGCGTCCTCAACGTATACGCAGAGATAGGTTCTGGGATTGCAATATCCTTGTATGTTGTATGATTGCGCGGCTTGGACCAGGGCTGAGGGCGCGAGCGAGATGATGAAGAGGGTGGTGAAGTGCATTGTGTTTGAATAGGGAGGATTTGTTCAAGAGGTGTGAGCGAGTGTGGAAAGTCGATATTAAACTGGGAGAGTGGTAGCGAGATGAGGGGAACAGGAAGGGAATGACCTGTATATTTATACATGTGTCTTTCGAAACGTTCGGCTGGTTCATGAGCTCTTGGGGTGACGTAGAAAACAAAAAGGTTGTTTTTTTTTTTTTACTCTTTCTCGTATTCTTGTACTTAGCCCCCTTATGAATAACTGCCGGACCCAGTTTATCTCCATAAATAGTAGACCGGTGATTTCTGAATTGCATAAAGCCCTGTCAACTCCATTGCATAGATTAAATACTGGCTTAGATATACTTTTCAAGGCTGAATGAATCCTTATTCTGCGTAAGTTGATCGGTTAAGACCTGGTAAAATCCCTTGCAAAAATTATACTTTCAACATGTATTCGTGGGGGCAGAGGAAAGGGAGAGGGAGATCCACACGTATATATATGTGTATACCGGTACATGTATATACAACGAAGACAGGCCGGCTTGCGAGCTATTAGAACGACGCAAATAAGAGACCATTCGATCTTTTTCGTATTTTGGTATTCTTTTACGTAATTCTTCAAAAAGCCGATATGGTTCATGTGATCATGATCTTGTCATCTTCAAAAATCCGATATGCTTCGTGGAAGAGTGGGACTTGATGTCGCAACTGCGACAAGGAATCGTGATCTCCATGGTATTCCAGTCCTACGTACCTACGTAGTAGTACTTGCCGGTTGCTTCTGCCGGGTAGGCAGTACGCCAGCCATAATTTATCCTATGCACCTCCGTATCTTCCTCAGATCACGGATCGGAATTTGCAAGGCTTTGATTACTCGTCTTTTCTCCCACTGATCTGGCTATTCTTGTAAGCGATCGCACGCAACTCCGACGCTCAAGTCCGCCCGCATCGATCCAACCGGCTACCGAACAGCCGGAGCCTGAACTTCCTCCATATCTCTAGCGGAGGGAAAAATGATCGATTTTAGAATACGACGAAGAGCAAATGGAGCTTTGTCTTGAATGGATGAAAGACTATACATTAGAGTATATTTTATCGTGTTTACAGCCAAAAGGTGCTTACAAGAGTATCTTCGGAGGTGGCTACCTAGGTAAGCGACCAATCATGTACTACGTCCCAGGCGTAGGTATCACCCCCTGAGGGTAAGGTAAACAGGGGGTTTATATCGGATACTAAACTTTTGAGGCACCCTCGAGGAGCAATACTTACGACTGTACCGTGGTAGGTGCGACTATTCATTTGCCCCGACTATCATAATAGGGGGTTGTTGGTGGTTTGTATGTTTCCAAGCAAGACGCGTCAGCTTCCGAGAGATTCTGGTATGACGTAGATCAAAAAAAAACTCTTGACTTTCGGATCTACAAAGTTTAATAAGCGCCTGTGCTTCCTTCTCCTACTACTATAAGTACCTATCCCGTGTTCCAATAATACAATCAAAGCCGAAATTGTGCTTTGGCAAGAGCTCTGCCCAGGGCTTGAAGCAATAAGTTTGTAGGGATTCGGCTTTGAAGAGTCTCTTTAAGCATGTATTGCGTACAAGCGCAGCCTACCACGTTCGTCGTGTTTGATCTGTATAATAGAGTTGACAGGGCCATCACAATGAACTTGCCGAGGTTCGGCCTTCAAAAACTCTCTTCGAGTCTGTACAACTACGTAAGTGCTTCGTCCTTGATCTGTACAACAGAGTTGACAAGGCTTTCACCAATAAACATGTAGAGAGTCAGCCTTCGAAGAGTCTCTTCAAGCAGGTAGTTCGTATTTGATCTGTGCAATTGTTGGAACCGGACCTACGGAGCTAAGACCTCGGTAACTTTCTGAAACGCCAACAGAGCTAGGCGAGAGGGGCGGTCAAGCGAATAGCATGTCAGACCGTAGTACCGGTAGCACAGTACAAACGACCTACCGGAACGGTACTAAGGTCCGGCCAGGCCATATGGTTGTCCGTCTGCTATTTCGTTCGGAGCTCAGTCGCTATATAGGTAGCTACCATCATACTCGGTTGAATGTATGCAAACCCAACTAAACACACTCACACCGAATACGTATTCACACTTCCGGCTCCGGGGCCCAAGGACCTCGCTTCGCAATGGTCAGAGCATAAGGCTGCTTCCGAGGAGTTTAACATTAACGCCACATCAACGTTCCGTAAAATCAGGTAAGGAAAAATAGTAGCACAAACGTTTCAGGCCGGCAGCAACCTTAAACTTACAGGCCTCCGAGCTACGAGGTAAGCTTTCCGGACTTGGCGGCATTGCTTTCGTAGATAAGAAGTACACTTTAAAACCATGTACGTAGTACGTAGTACTACTACTGTACAAAGGACGTATGAAACACTTCAGCCCGCCCGCAAGCTACGGGGTCAGTTTTGCAGACTTCGATCGACGAAGTGTAGATCCCTCCTCTTCTCGTAAACTAATCTTTTACAACGACAGGTTACCTTCGGGCTGCGTCCGGGCATGCAATTCTTCCATGCAGCTCCATTTCAAAGCCTTTTCCCTCGACGTTTACCCGCCCGCGATTCCCTTCTACACAGGCGGTTTTGATGTTTCCACATATCGAGTAAGTAAAAAAAATCGATCGGAAGAAGAAGGACCGCGAGTTTACGCGCAGCTGGAGCACTCAATAGCGAGCGGTATGATCACTTCGGTAAGCTTTCGCGTTCGTCCGATTCCGGAAGCGATTCCGTGCCCGGTTTCGTATTCGGTTCGGAGTCAGCTGATGCCTCGTAAAGCTCTCCGACTGTCTGCCACCTTGCGAATCTCTCGTCCGTATCGTCTGGGAACATCAATAGCGGCTATGGCGACTTGCCCGTCGGGTTCATTCGTGAAGATATCGACCACGGCCTCAGCCTGTTGTCGAGCTTGTTCGGGCTCCTATCTTATCTCTTCCCGATTCTATTGCTAAGTATCATCAACAACCGATTCTATTGCTTATTTTCTTTGCGGAACGCTTCTCAGCTTGCTTGGTTTTCCGAAGTTTGAGTTCTTCTTCATTTGGTTATCCTTCTTTTCATGTCACATACGTCGATCGTGTCGCTCTTAAATGAGTTCGCTTTTTCTCTCTCTTCTCGATATGAATTACGTTTTCTGATCTTTGCAAGTAACCGTCGGTTACCTTGAATTTAATTTGTGAAAAAAGCTGTATTGTTCTGCTAGGTCGGCCTTTATACAGAAGAATATTTCACATCCACCACTCCCCAGCGGCACAATAACCCGCCTCCAAGGAAGCATACACAGAAAATCCCCTCCACCAATCTCGAGTTCCCCTTCCGCCGGTCGCCGGTCGCCGGTCGCCGGCCTCGGCCCGGGACCCGGACCCATGCTATGGATGCCATCCTAACCGACCTCTTCTCAACCACTGACAGAAACCATTAGCCCAGCTCTGCCGCAGACGCCTCCTCCTTCTCTCCCCTTCTCTCTCTCTCTCTC